GTGTGCTCTCTCTCTCTCTCTCTCTCTCTCTCTCTCTCTCTCTCTCTCTCTCTCTCTCTCTCTCTCTCTCCCTCTCTTTCTGACATGGAAGGATTATTGATACACTGTTAGGTGACCTGGTCCAGAGATTTCTCCATCTTTCCATGGATGAAGAGACAACAGCATCGCTTCACACTGTAGGCATGAGTGTGTTCCATATTTTATTCTTTAATAAATAAGTCTTCTTCCCAAGCATCTGTGGATTTCTTGCAATACCCAGGCTTAGAACCAGGGCTGTGAATTAGTCCACCCGAACATCCACCCTGTTTATGAACTGCTGGAGCACATAAAGGTGTCAGTCCTGCAGAAACAAAGCTGCAAGATCCCCAAACCTAATCCTGACACAGGACAACAACAGGATATCCAGGAATAGTCCCAGTATCCATAGGGTAGCAGAAGACATAGGCTTTGAGCCAGACCAATTGTAATGAACACTTAGAAGTAAAGATGTATGGACTAAGGGACATACTGTGTGACCCTCTGGGCCATACTACAGCTTTCATGCCAAAAATTTATTTTCTTTCTCTTTTTTGTTTTGTTTTTATGCCATAATTTTGAGTTCAATTTTGTCTTGTGGGTAGATCACAAGGGCAGAGGGTGGAGGTGAGGGGATGGGAAGATGAGTGGGATTGAGATGCATGATGTGAAATCCACAAAGAACTAATAAAATGTTTAGAAAATTTAGTGTGTTGCCAGAGATCTAGGAGATAAGGTCCAAAACTGCTTAGAATCTCCATTGGGTAGCTAACAACATCTCAATGAAGCCTGGGAATAAGTTATGACTTGATGACAAGATTTCACTTGCAAGAGAGGAGTAAAGGATGTAACAATAGGAAAAAACTTGAGTCATGAGATCTTCAAATGTCCCAAAGGTTAGGCAAAGAAAATATGCAGGGTTGGCTTTTTATTGTTTTTTTGTTTTTTTCTTTTATTTAGTTTTACCCTGATGATATGTTGTTGCCAGAGTAATAAGGCTTTCTTTTAAAGAGAAGAACAAACAGGCATAGAGAGAATTCTTGATGAGCAGATGGATGATGGAAAGTTTTACCTGGGGCCTGCCTATTCTAAGAAGGGACCATTAAGGCAACCGGCTGGTTTTGGAGTGAGTGGGGCAAAGTTCAAGAATATGTCGAAAGAAAAGAAGCTGCCTCAAACTGGCAGGCAACCAATATGCAGTTCAGCTAATTGTTTGTGACATACATACACACACACACACACACACAGAGAGAGAGAGAGGGGGGGGGGAATTTAAAAGGCTTTGGGTCTGGCTTTCTCATATGTAACTAAGGAAAGCATCCTTTGACTCTAAGTTGCATGGGGAAGGGAATTTCTTTGTGAGAAGTCATTTTTTGGAACACACAGAGCTGGGTTTGTTAAACCTTCAGTGTTTTCAGTGTTTCCAGGATCAATGGCTTAGGTAAATTCAACACCTGTGCCACTCCTCCATAGCATTTTATTGTTGTTTAGAAAATAATTGGAGATGAAGCTATTTGTATACCAATGAGAAGGAGAGGAATAGAACTCTCACCAGTGTAGCACTCAGTATCCCAGAGGTGACTGTGAGCTTTTCATGTGACATTGGTTAAATGGTGGATTCTGGGACACACAATGTGCTGATGCTCTGACACCCCCTGTGTAAAATGAGCCTCATGGATTTGGGACTCTCTAGCAGCATCATGTACCCTATGCAACTATATTCTCAAACATGGGGATGTAGCTTCATTTCCCTTGCTCTACCGTGAGTTCTAGCCTCAGTTCTGTATAAATAAACAAATGAGAGTTTGTGAGATTGGCATGTCTGCAAATGCCTTGAGCAGCAACCTTTTTATTGAAACATTGCTGAAATGCCTATTCTGTTTGTGTATTTTTGTTTCAGGTTTTTTGAGAGAAGGTTTCACACTGTAACCCAGGCTGGCCTACAAATTTGGAGCTTGGGCTAGCCTTGAACACAGTATATAGCCTGCCTTGACTTGAAACAGCATCCTCCTGTTTCCATCTCTCAGATGCTGGAACAACAAGAATGAACCTGCCTATTCCTTTTTTTAAATTATCAAATAAAGCAAAACCAATCTGTTATTCTACCAAAGGCCTGAAATATGCACCTTGTTATATGTTTCCTGTGTTCTACCCATGGCCTTCTTTAAAGAAACAATTTGGTGCTCCTGGGAAAACATTCGAGTCTGGGGTAAAGTGAGGGGAAGAAGAGGAGGGGAGAGGAGGACATGGGGGAGCAGGAAAGTTGAGTCAGGGGAAGAATAGAGGAGAGAAGGATGAGAGATACCATAATAGAGGGAGTCATTATAGGTTTGAGGAGAGATCTGACACTAGTGAGATTTCCCGAGATCTACAAGGATGATGACACCAACTGGCAATCTAAGCAATAGTGGAGAGGCTACCTTAAATGCCCTTCCCCGATAATGAGACTGACAACTACCTTATATGCATCCTAGAGTCTTTATTCAGTGACTGATGGAAGCAGAGGCAGACACCTACTGCTAAACACTGAACTAAACTCCTGGAACCCAGTGACAGAGAGGGAGGAATAATAAGCAAAGTGTCATGACCGGACTGGTGAAACCCACAGAAGCAGCTGACCTGAACAAGGGGGAACTCATGGATCCCAGACTGATGGCTGACCAGACTGATGGCTGAGAGGCCAGCATAGGACTGATCCAGACCCCCTGAATGTGGGTGTCAGTGAGGAGGTCTCGGCAATCTTTGGGGCCTCAGATACCAGATCAGTTTCCTCCAAGGAAAACAACAGGCAACTTTCTTTTTTTTTTTTTACGAGACAGGGTTTCTCTGTATTGTTTTGGAGCTGTTGGACCAGCCCAGCCTCGAACTCACAGAGATCCCCCTGCCTCTGCTTCCCGAGTGCTGGGATTAAAGGCGTGCGCCACCGCCCAGCTCTAACTTTTATTTTTTAAGTCCCTGGTAGGCTTGTATGTTGTGTGAGGCCCTATGTTCTACAATCGGACAAATACTTTGTGTTCAGCCTGTAGGATTAGGTGGTTACACCCACCTTTCACTATTTGAATATGTAAATAAAGTAACTGATAAGTATCGCGTCACAGCTAGAAGCCAATGAGGCACAGACACGCGAAACAGAGAAACCAATGGCTGTTGGACCTGGTGTAATACGTGCCAAGCTTGGTGGTGTCTACTAAGCCAAGCTTTGATGCACACCTCCCGCTACTCTGTTCAATTCTGTGTCCCTCCCACTTGCTCCCTATGGAACTATCAGGATTGGGTGAGGTAACAGTATCCTCCTATTAGGGAGTGTGGGGGAGGGGAGGTGATGTCAGTGCGCAGCCCGAAAACGGTCCTGTGCAACTCCACGGGGTGTGGGCGGGGCGGCCTATATAAGATCTGCCGTGGTCTCGGAGCCCATTTTGCCCTACAGCGTGTGTGTTTGTTGCAGCTCCTGGAGTTCTCGTCTGAAGGCCTCTTCAACAGGTATGGTGCTGCTCTCCCACTGGCACCTTAAAGGTTTCTGCCATTTCTGGACCTCACCGATTCCATTTATGTCCTTTCCTTTTACTTCCACTATCACCCTTTTTGAGAACATGAGATAAGGGATATATGGGGGGGAGACCATTAGTGAAGGGGTTGTTTTCTCCTTGTGAGTCAGCATTTCAGTGTTGCACAGGCTGGTCTCAAATTTCTGGGTTCAGGTGATCTTCCTGCCTCTTGCGATGTCAGTGCACTGGGCTTTCTTTGGGTTTTAGATAAGGTCGAAGTAGGGGAGTTTAGGCATAAGTGAGACTGGTATTTGACAGCACAAGTGGCTTTGGGTTGTTGGTAGGATGTGATGGTGGGATCTGCGTATTGGACAGGGTTGGGCCGAGTTCAAAACAGGAACGGAGGTGGCTATGGGGTGTGGTAACATGCTGGAACTGGGAGGGGGCGATGCTTGGGACAGTCGAGAAGGTACTAGAACCCAGATGGATCAGGGCCTGGTTCAGAAGTGGAACTGAAATACCGGGTGGTCCGAGGTGGCACAGGAAGTTAAGGGGCGGTGCTTGAGACAACTGGCACGGGGCCGGAACCAATGAGACAGCGGGTGGTCCGAGGTGGCACAGGAACTTAAGGGGCGGTGCTTGGGACAACTGGCACGAGGCTGGAACCAGGATGAAGCTGGATGGAGTGGGTTCTGGAAATACAAGTGACACTTTGTGGTAGGTGGGGTCAATGGAGGTAGGAGAGCAATTTTATGTTAGAATTCCTTTTGTCTCTTTGTGGAGCAGCTGCTAAAATCCTTGCAAACAGTTTTTTTAAAAGAAGGTCTTACAATGTTGTGGTGGCAGGCTTCAAATTGATAGATTAGCTTCAGTTAGCTGCCTTTGAGTGCAGGGTTCAAAGGTGTGCGCCACTATGCTGACAAGGTTGTTAGATTCTTGTGCACACTCAGATTAGCACATCCTACATGGGTAGAGACATTCAAGACAGACCATATTAAATGTTCCTCTGCTTTGCCTTGAACAGATCAGTGGGCAGGAACCATCATCTCTGCACCAACTGTCTGGATAGAAGTCAGAAGACTGCCAGTATCAAGTGCCAATACCAGCAAAACCGCTGTATCCACACTTCAGCCAACAGCACGGTGAGCAGCTATTTTAGGAGTATCCTGTAATTCTAGCAAAGAGGTAAAGAGGCTTCCTGTCAAGTTTCACAGATTGCAGGATCATACTTAGGGTGGCAGCGTGTGTTTACTTTCTGGGGGCTTTTTCTGTCTCTGATTGCATATTCCATACTATTTGAAACCATGTGCTTTTTAAAAAAAAATCAGTGCCCACTCCTTAGTCTCTGCTTACCCCCTGTACCTGTCATCACTACCATCTTGTTGCTAAGATGTTTTATTGGTTGGAGGACCATGACATCACAACCTGTGTTAGAAATTCAGATCTGCACTGTTCTTGTGTTCATGACAGTACTTCAGCTTGCCACACAGTCTTTGCACCCACCACTCTGACCATATCTGCTGAGCTCAAGTCATCTTTCTCTTCTGCTGAGCATTTCTTCAGGACCCAGCAAGAAGTGAGTAGCCTGAATCCAACACAGTTCCTACTGGGTGGCACAGTGTTCTCCTTCCTGCCCTGTCTTCCATTGGGTCATTTCCAATGTTCCTAGTCATCGGTCTTTGCCTCCTGACATTGGCATTTTTCCACAGGTACTTGCAGAATACTCAGCAGACTCCCTGAACTTCCAGAGAGGTTGCTGCGGCAAGAGATCAGCAGGATCCAGTGAGTTTTGGGGAGCTTTTTGTGAGAAGACCCTCAACAAAAAAGATCGCAAGAGCCTGGGAAGCAAGACTGAATTGCTGAGAGAAGAAAAGGTGACAGGAAGTATTAACTAAGCTTTTCATTTGCATTTCAGGCTGTGGGAAACCCAGGACATCGCTGCCTTTCTACATGGTCTTGGCTTAGAATCCTTTGAGTCCTAGGAAAATTTTGAGTTAATAAGTACCCTAGTGTTAGGTTTGTCCATAGAAGGTGGTAGCAATGGCTGTGGCTCTATTAGATGACTGGTGTAAGGGGATGGACCTGGACCCCAAGAAGGCTGTGCTCATTGTGGGCATCCCTGTGCAGTGCAGTGAGACTGAGATAAAGGATGCTCTGAAACAAGGCTTACCTCCTTTGTGTGCTCACAGGGTGATAGGCAGAATGTTCAGGAGGGAAGACAATGCTAAGGCAATCTTAGTTGAACTGACTGAAGTTGTCAATTATACTATGATGCCCACTCATATACTGGCAGCAGGGGGAACCTGGGAAGTGGTAGTGAAACCCCGTAGCTCAGATGATGAATTCATCAATAAGCTGATCTACTTTCTGAGGGATGAAGGACGGAGAATGGTAGATGTGGCCAAAGCCCTGGGGTTTAGCACTGCCCCTACAGTGAGCTGGGAGCTAAGAAATTCAGTCCAAGACAAGCCAAGAGGCTTGAAGTCTTTGTGCAATAGCATGTGTTACCAAAAATTGAAAGCGTTTTCTGGCAGTCCCTTTCCAGGCCCAGGAGAAGAGACCTTTGAAACCTGGTTACAGGAGGTCACTGAGATGATGCCGTTATGGCAGGTGTCCGAGGAGGAGAAGAAGCGGCGCCTTCTAGAGAGCCTGCATGGTTCTGCCCTGTCAATCGTGCAGGCACTGTGGGCTAGCAATGACTCCCTAACTTTGGAACAGTGCTTGAAAGCCCTAAAGCAGATCTTTGGGAATAAAGAGGATAATAAGATCTTACAGTTCAGGTTCCTTCAGTCTTCTCAAAAACCTGCAGAGAAGCTATCTGATTACTTGCTGCACTTGGAGCCCCTACTCCAGAAAGCAGTGCAGCAGAGCCCCTTGTCAGCACACACTGCAGACTCCATTCGCCTCAAGCATATCTTATCTAGTGTCTCCCTGAGCACTGGCCTTCGGGGCAAGCTTTCCCTCTTAGATCAACAAGGATGCCCACCCACTTTTCTGGAGTTAATGAAACTCACTCAAGATGAGGAAGAGTGGGAGACCACCATGGTAGTGATAAAGGAGCAGCAGAATCAGGCAGGAAAGGAAAACAGGGCCTGTGGGGCAGCAGCAGATCAGGTTACCACCCAGGCAGGGCTTTTTAGGGAGATCAGCACCCAGACCATAGGAGAGGAAGTCACATCAGTGAAACGGAAGCGACTCCTATGGAGACACAGTGCTGGGGAAGAGGGGCTTATGAAGGAATCAGGGTTCACGACTGAAAATGAACCTGATGAGCAGAAACCCCATGTTATATCACAGGAGTCGGGAAACGAGAGAGGGGCTGGGGCTATGAGCCACCCCAACCCCAGGAGAATATAGGCTCAAGAGCTCTAGGAATTCCTTCCTGTAGCAGGCAACAGAGATACCTTGACAAAATGATGGGGCAGCCTAGACAAATAGCAGGGGACATGAGTGGTGTGGAAGGGCAGGACAGCCAGGGCCAGGGTGAGGAACCCCACTTGCCACTAACTAGAAATAATTCCAACAAGCAAAAACAAGCTCCACCTAGGTCAGTGACTACTATATCCAAGGCTAATGGAGAGTACCATAGAAAGGAATGGGGAGCTAGTATAGCCAGATTACAGGGTGAACCAGAGTCCAGTTGGGATACAAGTGATTCAGAGGATGAAAACGGTGAGGGGAGCTCTCAGTTAAGGATGTCCACTGGCACTGAAACAGCACAGGGCACGGAGGAGACTGTCACAAGGCTACGTTGGCCAGCGCGATCCAATGCCCGGGGGGTAGTGCAGCAAGGCAGGAAGATAGTGCTCCGGAGAGGAGGCCGCAGGATCCAGCCCGTCTTCAGGATCATCTACACTGCTCTAGGGGAGCCCCACGAAGGCAGCACCCTTGAGTCCTTTCGTGAGTGAAAGCCCAGGGTCTCTGGACCCAACGGCCCTGGGAAGCCAGTGCCAACCGGAGGCAGTTTCCTTCGTGGCACCCTGAGAGGGCTGTGAGGGGAAAAGACACCGGCGCCCAAGAAGAGCGCCAAACCCAACACTGCAGGGTTTGGGCCCTCAGCTGGCCTGACAGCCTGTGAGCGTGCAGGACAGGTTTTGTGTGAACAGGAGGTGGGAGAGCAGTGCAGGATTTGGTAGGGGGTAGTTTGTTCTGCTGTCTTTTGTCCAGGGCTGCTGGAGAATTCCAGAGAGCAAGCAACGAGAGCCTGGTACAACTCGGCAGGCAGGCACCTGCCGAGGCTGGCCCCAAACCCTGCCGGACTGAGAGGGAGGCCTGGCAGTGCAGCCGAGGTGCCATCCTCCATCTGCCAGCCATACCAAACAGGTGGAAGGAAGTTACAGAAGAGGCCATGTCAAGAGTTCTACAGAGAGGCCATCTCAAGAGTTCTGCCTGGCTCTCCCAACACAGATGCCCCCTCCCTGCTGCTATCCTGAGGCAGGCTACTCCCTGCTCTGGGCTGCCCCCCACCCGAGTATCTGTTAACCTCATAGAGAGCCAGCTATCCAACGCGTCCCTTCCCCCTTTGTGTGCTTATCCCCACCCGTTGCTCCTGTACAAAGCTGTGAGTGAGGTGTGTGTTAACTTGAGCAGCTGGAGGCCCTGACTACCTGGCCAGTCACCCCTACACCCTGGCACGTGCCCCCAAGGTTACGCTACCTCTTCTCCCCCGGTGTTGTGAACTCCTCGCCTGCTTTCCTGGTGCACATCTTGGCCAGCTGCCTGCTGCTTGTCCTCCTGCAGATGTGTGTGTTACCTGATCAGATGCTTCCCAGAATCCCCAGGCCCAGTTCCTGGAAGCCAGCCAGAAACAAGGATGTTGACAAGGGACTGCTCAATGACTTTGACATGGGACTGTCCTGTGATGTTCCACTCCTGCTGTTAGTTATAACTATTTTTTAGGGTCGGTGGGGTGTTGCATGTTATACTCTCCAATTCCATGATTGGTCTGTGCATGATGTAGGGCAGCACCACCCTTCAGTGGTGATGCTTTGAGAGCATTCCCAAAAGCAAGGGCCATTACCAGAGCTCATCATTGTGACAAGAGACAGATCTGGGGCACCCAAGACAATATATTGTAGTAGAAGATCCTTGTGTGGGCAGGACCCGTGGCTTCTAGTGCCCCTTGTAAGTTTCTGTGTTACCTCTTTTTGAATGGTTTTAGTACAAGTTTTTTGAATAAATTTCATTATTGTTCCAGCTCTGTCCTGCCTCTGCTGCAAGTGAATTGGAGGGCAGCAGTGTTGGCTGGGTTGACACTGGCATGTGTGCATGTCTAAGACCACGAGGGACTACAGTGGTCTCCTGGATGGGAAGTAGTCAAGCTGCTGGTAGTCAATAGATGTGGGGGTGCAATGACTGTCTTCCAGGGCATTCGGCAGGAGCAGAAATGAAGGGGCTGCATGCTGAAGGGAAGGTACATTACAGAAGGTTGACCCCAGGATTTCTGGTGCAGCAGTGTGCTTGTAGAGGATACTGGGTATCTATGTGACCGATATGGACTTCAAAAGGGCCAGGGAATGATGTCCCTATAGATGCTGTGCATAACTTGGAGCATGATGCTGTTTAATCCAACCCTTATTGGGTAGGGGCTAGCTCTGTCTCCACTGAAGGATGTTTGAGGAAGAGTTGGACAGGGTGCTCAGCAGGTTTGGATGTCACAGGAAAAGGGGGGAATGAGGAACTCATTCCAGACAGCCTCTCATAACATTTTTCCTATCCTTTGGTGGGGGTAGGTATGTTGTAATCCCTAAGTAGGAATGGCTTTTTATGTGCACTTGTGTGTGCATGTACTCATATGTGTTAGTGTGCCTTTTTGACAGTGAATAAGTGTTGGCTAGTGTATAGGTGTGTATGTGAGTCTGTGTGTGTGTGTGTGTGTGTGTGTGTGTGTGTGTGTGTGTGTGTGTGAAGGACCATGCTTTTGAATGTTGGGAGCATGTGTGCCCATGTATGACTATCTCTGAAAATGACTATCAATGAAGGTGAGTGTGACGTCATTGTATGTAAGTGAGAATGGGTGTATCAGAGCATGAGACTGGAGTCAGTAAGGGTCCAGTGTCTTGAATGTGAGGCATGTGTATGTTGATGAACGTAAATGTGTGTCACTGAATGAGTGTGACTGTCATATGTATCACTGCAGAGCTTGTTAACCAGTGTTTTATAAGGGTGGTAGGTTTTGACTTGATCAAATATCGGGAGGCAGAGCCTGCTTCCCCCTCCACCCTAGCTTCATTTTCACAGATTTCATGCATCACTCTCTCATGACCCAGTATCATCTATAGTGTGTGCTCAGAAAATATTTATTAGGGAGTGAGCAACCCTTCCCCTTCCTTTAGGTTTATAACTCCAAGGTTATCTTCCCCAACTCAGAGTAGCTTGGACACCTCCCCCCACACCCCTACAAACTGTTGGCAATATTTGTTTCTCAATCTCTTGAGCATGAATCACCATGTCCAGCTTGGTTTTGTAGCAAGAACTGTTTCTGGTAAACCACATGCCTAAAATCACCAAGTTATCATACTCAAGTGCACATATATACACAAAAACCAAAAGTGTTTTTTAAAGGATAAAATACTGATGTGTGATATCTTAACATTTATTATAATTTGTATACATTAATGTGGATTAAGCAAATATAACTAGAAACACTAAGCAATTAAAAAGAAGCAAAATAATGCAAACCATCCCTCTCTTAACTGCAGATTCTTTTGTCTTTTAAGACACAAAAGGACTATTTTGGATTCAAATCAATACTAATATTGCAAGCCATCTTTGAGTATCTTCCATATTTGTAAACTTCCTTAAATGGCAGAGTACACCTTTGAGGTGGAGAAACCATCCCACCTTGGGCCTGCACTGAAACTCCCAGGTAACACCTCTAACCAAAGGAGTGACTCACTTTTCTCTTACTAATTCATTTGGCACCCATATGTTATTGCCTACCATCTGCCAAGTCCCATGCTAGAGATGGACTTGAGAAAGACTAGTTAAAAATTAGTGTAGGGGTGTGGCATACTGTACTCCTTCCTTCAGAGTACATGCAGCAGATAAATGTGCAAATAAATAGAATGTTCTTCTCTGATTACTTCATAGGAGGAACAAGTCCATACTCAAATGTCCTTAGGGTTCAGAGTCTAAAGAAAGGGAAGAGCTATTTTATAAGTAAATCAAATGAAGAGACCTCCATTTTGCATCCCCAAATCTTGAAGGCTATTTTTCCTTTCAAGGAGCTTACAATTTAATGCTGCACCCAAAGGCAGCAGGGTGAAGTTGAATCAGGGCAGCGTATTAGCAGACTGCAGGGATGAACCTGCCTCTGCTCGGCCAGACATCAGCTTTTAGTGCTTTGAGTATCTGGGGACCTAGAAGTTGATGTTGGTTTGAAACATAGTCAGGGCAGAAAACAGGTCACTGTATGCTCAGGACAGAGAGTCTACTGCACCACTCACTGGATAGCAATCAGATTACTGTAGTGCTTCAAGGAGGGATCCAAGATTCACACTTTTCCCATGTCTAACAGTGTGCCTCAGGGCAGTATTTCATTGTAGGCATAGGGACCCTCCACACAGTGCCTGGCACATGTTCAGTACTAGGTCAGTGTTACAATGATTATTGCTTCTGAAGAAAGTATGGGCTCCAGAGAGACAATAGTGGTTCTATAGGATACTTCCCACTCCTCCAAGCATTACTATCTTCATTTCTAAAATGAGAATATCTTAGAGACTATTAAAGAGATTAAAAGCCAATGCTTTGTGGTAATGCCTGGTGTGTGGTGAGGTCTCAAGAAACCTTATCTGTTCTCTTATTGACTTTTTTGGGATCTATATACCCTAAAAGCAGTTCAGAGATTTTATAAGTAACTCCAGGAATCAGGATACTGAGGATAAAGACTTGAACTAGCTACCAAAATTCAAATAGACACAGATTGCCCTTTTGGTGTAAGCCTCCTAATACTGTATCTTACCAAATTTAAACCTGGGTAAACTTTCCAATATGTACTGACATACCTGACTGGAAAAACTCAAAGAAAAATGGGAGGAGGTAATTTAAGTCTGCTACATAATAATATAAAAACAACTATTTTAAAATTGTATGAGAAACACACACACACACACACACACACACACACCGAGAGAGAGAGAGAGAGAGAGAGAGAGAGAGAGAGAGAGAGAGAGAGAATGAATAGACAAGCTAAACATTAGCCTATTGCCAACCTTTAGCATTCAATGCCTATAATTTCCCTACCAGGGATCGTCAACAGCATTTGGTTTGGCTCCTCAGAAGCCTCCAAAAGTTTGCATACACTGATACCGACACTTGTGCCCATGTCTTAACATACCAGGTCGGTCATCTGCACTCATTAGAGAGCCAATAAATCTTAGGGAAGTCAAAGTGGAGTCCTTCATCCTGGGATCAACTGAGATGTGGATTTGAATCTCTAGGGTATAAAAGACTGAGACTATATACATGTAATTATAACATCATTGAGACACAATACTAGATGTGTTACTTCAGTTGGCAGATGTAAGTTTAAGAAGAACCAACAATTTGGGGTAAGTACACAGCCAAATGCATCTGGGGCTCATCAGCTTCTGTTCAGCCTGCAGGAATCAAAAGGAAACAGAGGTAGCAATTAGACTTGAAGTAAGCATCCAATACCTGACAGCCCTTGGGGTCCCTTAGGGTGGGTAACTGTTACAGTGATTGTGAGCATACATCCAACACAAATGCATTTCCTGGAGAAAAGACAACCTTTGTGTAATCAGAAAGGGAAAATATTCTGTGTTCAGACACTTGGAACAATCCCATTGACTATTGGCCCAGAGGCTGCTTTATTCAACATCTTCATTATTAAGTCTAAATCTAAAGCTATGAAAACAGTGCTGAAAAGTAGTCCAAAGGAATATAGCAGAGAGCACAGTACTAGAATCTGAGACCCAGGATGAGGTTCAGATTCTACTATATTCCAACTAGGTGTTTGTCCAGAACATTTCCCTTCTACATCTTTATTTCCTTGTCACAAAACAGGTCCAGGTGTCCCAGGGTTAGAGGATTCAGCTGAGGATCTAGATGGGGGAGATTTCTTTAGAGGAAGATGCTATGACTCTGGAAACTTGGGAAGGGTCCCTAGGGAGGGGTTTTTCCCACATCACTTAAGATCTCTAAGTAGCATAAGGCACAGAACAAGGACTTATCTGATTAGATTGACTGAGAAGCATAGCAGAGTTCTGGAGTAAAATCCAGGACCAAACCAGGAAAAACTTTTGTCTTGTTCCTTTTGTCTAATGGGACTCTTAGCCACTTATCCTATGGGCTTCCAGCACTCACCTAGAAGAGCTTCTCATAGCATTTCCCACAGTGGATGGTATCACGATGAATGAAGATCTGATCTAGGAGATCACCCATCGGTTTATTGCAAATTCCACACTAACAGAGAAAGCAAAGTGAAGATCAGGATTCTGCTTTGATGCTGTGAGCTGATGACACATTTTGGACTTTCAAGGCGATAACAAGACATTGAAAACAGATATAAAACCTGATATAGAAAATAAGATAAACACACACAATAAAACACCAAAACTAAGCTGGTAGGGACTGGAGAGATGGCTCAGCCAGTAAAGCACTTGCTGTGGATTTGATCTCCAGAACTCATATAAAAGCTGGGTGCAGATGCACAAACCTGTAATCCTGGTTTACCCAGGAGGATTCCTGGGGCTCTGATCATTCCAGGTTCACTGAGAGACCCTGTTCCTGCTATCAAATAACAGAGAATCTGAGGAAGGTATGCAATGTCTGGTCTCCATACACACACACATGCACCCATACACACACATATGTGCCAACACACACACACACCAGGGTCATCAGCATCTTGACTGAGATGGGCAAGTTACTGAAACTTTCCCAGCCTCTACTTGCTTATCAGATTAGGAGAGACTGAAGGATGTGAAGTTTAAGGTCCTGAGGAAGATGATAGTGCCCCACAGAAGAGAGGTGTGTTTTAGTAGCCTGGTCCCTCCCACAAACCTGTATCCTCAGGAATGTCAGTGGCAGGCAGGACTTCCTAGCACTGGGAGTTGAGTAAAAGGAGGCCAGATAGTGCCTGGTTTTCCAGAACTCTCAGTGTCTCCAGCCTGAGGCTTCTAGCTTCAAGCAGTTAAGGGTGCTTGGAAAGAGAGGCCAGCCTTTAGACAACTCCAAGTCTCGTTGCTCAGCCCTCCCAGGCTGATGGTAATCTGGCTTCTTCTCAACTTCCTCCTGGCAGAGTATTTCTTAATGTAAATTAATTATGCTTCTGTATCCTGTATAATGCTTCTATCCTTTTAGTTACTGTATACCAGACTGGAACATGGACTTATAATGGTGCTGATTCATTTAGGGGGTCACTTCCCGGCATATAGAAAATGATAGAACTTACTGACAAAGCACTAGTACAACATATGTAAAATCCTAGGTTCAATCCCCAGTACTGAGAAAAACATGTCTGAGAGACATCTAGTTCTCTTGTCACAACCTTGAATTGAGCATGTTGCTGTCAATGCTGAGTAACTCTGTGACCTCAGAAAAATGATGCTGGACTAGAGAGATGACTCCATGGGTAAAACCCTTGTCATGTAAGCATCAGGACCTGAGTTTGGACCCTGAGAACCTATACAAATCTGGATGTGGTAGCATGCATCTGTAATTTCAGTGCTCCTATGGTGAGATGGGAGGAATAAAGGTGACTCGCTGGAAACTCATAGGCCTCTTACATTGGCGTACAGTAGCAGACAAGACACTGTTTCAAACTAGGTGGGAAGTGAGGCCGAACACCCAAACTGTCCTCTCATCTCCATGAGAATGCCATGGCACTAAAGACACATGAACACCTACACATACATACACCACACAACAAACAAACAGGGAATGCCTCTCCAATCCTGCATTTAAGACCCATGGGCTACAACTCTTGGTCATTCTGCTAATCTTCCAAGAATTCCCTAAGCACAGCAGCTTTTTTTGCCATAACTCCAATTTTGTCACACAGTATGTGAATTCCTATTTGGGCCAGCTTAGAATTTGTCTGACAGTACTTCTCCCTATGTGCCAGTAAGATGTATACATTGCAGTTGCCTTATTTTACTCCTTTGAAACTAGCTTCCCCTTCACCTCTAACTCCCATTCATCCTCCCTCACAAAAAAAAAACAACCAAAACCCTGAGATTGTCTTGAATCCTCATAATCTACCAACTGTGAGCAATCAAGTCACTATCTTGCCATCAATCATTATCAAATTCCTCAGCAAATTCTCTGAGTTTGATAGATATGTGAATGAGAATTCCAAGAAGAAACTGTCTGCAAAGGCTGATTGACTGATCAGAACATTAATGATGGGGAGAGGCTGGAATGTTGCAGGCCTAAAGCCTAATTACAATTATCTTGGGTTATCTGGCTCTCCTGAGGTATGTGCAGATCATTTGTTTCTGCTGCCTTCTTACACCCACAAAATTTGACTCCAAATGCTAGAGTCCACTTCTCCAGCTGCATCTTCTCTCTACCTGCTCTAATCATTAGTCTCTCCTCCTCTACTTGTCTCTCTAGCGCCTGCAGCCTGCTACACCTCCAGGGCATTTACACAACTCTTGGTCTCTCTGGTTCCTGGACCCTCCTATGCCCTCCTGGGCTGCCTATCACCTGGGCATCTCTACTTATCTCTGACCTGCTACACCCATGCGGGTATCTCTCTACTAAAGACACAGATCTCCAGTCTTTTCCCAAAAGCCTCTCCCAGTTCACATCTTCAGCAGTTTTCTCCTCTACCTGCTTTAACCATGCCTCTCTTCTTCTCCTGCATACGTGTTACCCTGGACTTCCCTGTTTTGTCTACTTTTACTACAAAAGCCACACTGGTGTGCCAGGACACTCCCTTGCCCTACTGGGTCCCTATCACGTAGAAAGGGTCACCTCTCCTGTGTGATTTGGGACATTTCTCTTTGACAAGTCTCTCATTTCACTTGGGGATTGCTCCGGATTGAAATTCTTGTCACCACAACACTTACCCCTCTGCTCCTTTTGTTCTCAGCTCCTTCTTGGATCTTCCTTAGCTCCACCTAGGAGCTTCAGTCCCACAGCTTCCTTAAGCCCTTCTGGGCCTACAACCCTTTCCTTGCCCCTCCCCCTTGGAACTACTAGTTCTATCTCTCCTTACATTATCCTGGGCCTCCAGTTTCTTTACATTCTCTTGGGCCTTATATGACCCTTTCTCTCTTCTTCCTTGAACTCAGAGATTGTATTAAAGTCTCACTGTCTTACTGCAAAGGTTTAGCCTCAGTGTATACATCAATCAGTGGCCAAAGATTGGCACACTCGATTTTTTAATTCTCTCATATGATAACTACTTCTGCCACTGAGCAAATGATCCTCAAATCTCTTATATCTAAACTTGTTCTGCTCTACACTCCTATCTCTAAGAGTTTTTCTACTTTCCAGTAAAAAAAAACTTCTATCTCAGCTGGGCAGTGGTGGTGTATGCCTTTAATCCCAGCATTCAGGAAACAGAGGCAGGTGGATCTCTGTGAGTTCAAGGCCAGCCTGGTGTACAAAGTGAGTTTCAGGACAGCTATGCAGAAAAACACTGTCTTGAAAAATAAAAATCAGAACAAAACAAAAACCCTTGATCTCTACTATTTCTTGGCTTTCTACTCACAAAGAAAACCTCTTAAAACTATGCTGTAAACTATGTCAGGATATTTTAAGTTCATTGGGTATGATTAAAAATATCTGTAACAAGACTGTGATGATCCCCCATGGGAGGCCTCACCCTCTCCAGAGAGTGGATGGGAAAAAGGTGGGGAGAGTGGCAGGATGTGGGGGGAGAGGGAACTGGGATTGGTATGGAAAATAAGATTTTTTTAATTTAAATTTAAAAATCTGCAACAAACTTTATCTTAAAACATAACAAAAGGTTCATAGTTAAAATCTACATATTATTAATCTTAATTTGCTACAACTTACTATTCAACTCTTGTTTAAAAAATAGATCTACTAGAAAATAGATGTTTTTAAATAGCGACCAAATGGCTGACAGTTGTCTTTACTAAAGTTAAAAAAAGAGTACATGCCATGTGACTTCATCACCATCTTGATTAAAATGCCCATGTGGTATAAATCAACCTAAACAACAATTATAAAACTTCTTAGTCTTACTGAGCCCCATGCTTGTCACTGTATCTCTTTTTAAACTAAGGCAACAGCAGGTCTCTGAAGTATTTTGGATTAGGACGGATTTTCATATGATGATCATTTCCTAAGGTTATAAAGGTCTATTCAGATCAACCAAAACTGACTTAGAAATGTATGTCTAACCACTTATGTCTTTTCTAATTGTGTTCAATACAAGGCTTCTGAAAAATCTTAGATTAGGCACAACATATGTTTGATAAATAAGGTTTATAAATTCCTGCAGTCTACTAAGGTTAACAGTAAGTGGCTTAAAGATATATATATATATACTCTTTGTCTTTGTTAACTTTGTTAAGCTTTAGCCATTTGGCTAAACTGAATAATTAAAAAACTGATATCCTGTAATGATGTAGTATATAAAAAAAAGATCATGAAAGTTCCCAGTCTCCTTATGGACTGTATTTATGGTTTAAAGTTTGCTGCATTTATGACTTACAGTTTTATTTTGATGCTAAAATATCTTCAATTAAATCTTCAACTCAAATTGATTAGGCTCATACTTAACAGGGATAAAGCTATAAAATCCTAAACTTATAAAAGCTACTTACTGTAAACTGTTAAAGTGAATGAATAAAGTTAATGCTCAGAACTATGCTATTAGTCATGCTAAGTACAAATGTAATAGGGATATGCTTTATGTAGCCTCATGTATGTGTTTTTAAGGTTAAGTCTAAAGCAAGTAACTAAAAATAAGTATTTTTTAAAATCAGGTATAGTTAATAGACAGTGGTTTTCAAACTCTTCAGAGATCTGCTGAATATGGCATTTAAAATGTTTAATGAGAAAGCTTCCTGTGATAAATAGAAATGTCAGCTCCTAACGGAAACCCTAACGTCTCCAAAGAGGATGATGAAGATGACCACTTGGAGCTATGTTTCCTCACTGCTAATGTTTTGGGGACTTATGCTGAGAAATCCATCTTGCAATATTGCTGGTGATTTTCCCTTGTCTGTTGCTTGCTGACGTACCTTGTAAGCAGGGCTTGCATGTTAACTTAGGTTCCTTTGGTTCTGTTTTTCTGGCCAGAGACCTACTTAGTGTTTGATAAATGCCACTGTCACAAAAAAATAGAAAGTTCCCTGACATATCCATACCCTGCTTCTGGATCATATGGAATAGTACGTGGCTTTTCCAGGAGATAGCTTAAGACCTGATCCCCCATCTCTCCTCAGTTAATGTTCTACTTCCAAGAGAGCAACACAAGGCAAAATGGAGAACTACTTCCCCAAAGCAGCACATTAGCAATAACTACTTGTATATGCAATCTTAATCTCAAGTCTTTAAAGTACTTTCTTTCCTGACTGTCTCTTCTACTTTTGTTAAGGTAATAGCTTAGATGGGGGAACCTCTGCAGGCTCTCATCCTCTATGATGATCTAAAGAAGGGGCTGACTTCTATCATTTTTAAGTTCAAAATAGATACATTTAAAGTAACATTGAGGAAACATTTTCATTAGTAAATGCATCTCCTCTCCCTCAGCTATTTAGTTCACTAAAAGATAAAAAGATAGTATTTCATGTTTACATGTCAAACTTCATATTTTTTATTTTTTATTAAACCTTTCTCATATCTTAAAGAGATAGGGATAAAAATATTCTACCTTCTTTTTACAACTAGGTACACCATTTATAAAGGCTACCTTTACTAAAATGTGGTTATGGATAGAACCAACTTTCTGACTGCTTCCATAGGGGAAATTCATGTCTGCTTCAAGAAACTTAAAACCTGTGGTACCAAGGACGTCATAGCAGTGGTTAAACAATTGCCATTGCTTTAGTAAATGAGGGTGATGTAGTGGCTAAGATGCTATCTATCCAGGCTGTTGAGGGAGAATTGTCACTAACAGTCCTACCTGGATGACAGTCCTGCATGCTATATATCGATGTATGAGACAAGTGTACTGGTATAACCAAGCACATTCCAATTGGATTTAAGACCAGCTCCATGGAAGGGAATTCATATTTCATACTGTAAACCCTGTCAAAGGCAGTAGCGTTGGAGTGCATAGGCCCTAGTGTGGAAGATACTGCTATTGTTTTGTTAAATAGACATTTACTCATGGCCACAGATTATTGCTGCTGTTAACTTTTTATCACGGAAGCTTCTTTTGTAGCAAGAGGTAGTTACTGTAGATTTCTAACTAGTCACAGTGCTGAGTGATATGTAGCCTAATGCTTAGTCCTAAGTGGGAGAAAATAATCATGTATCTGTATCACCCCAGGGAACATCACAGAAGAGGGAACGGAAAAAATGTAGGAATAGGAGGGAAGGATAAACTTCTGTGGAACGCTGTTGTTCTTGCACTGCTGTTTCATCTTTTTTTCCCGGGTTTTTGAGACAGGGTTTCTCTATGACTTTGGAGACTGTCCTGGACTCGCTTTGTAGACCAAGCTGGTCTTGAACTCACAGAGATCCGCCTGCCTCTGCCTCCTGAGTGCTGGGATTAAAGGCATGCGCCACCAACGCCTGATTGGCTGTTCCATCTGTGATTACCTGTGTGAGATCTTTACAGGACTGGGTCCAATAGCATTCCCTTGTGGAACTCACAAGGCAGCTCATGAAAGAGTCACTGGCTACATGAAGCATATTAGACTAGATGCAGTAGGTCCCACCTCACCCCAAGAATATATACGTAGTTAATAGTTGCTATGGGGAGGGTACTTTTCTTTGGTGGTGTAGCTATGTAAATTACCCATGTTCCTGTAGGCACCCCTCATCTATGCTTCTGTAATTAACTCTGACTAAACTCACTGTTTTACCAAATTAGATGAGTGGAATCATGTCTTTCATCTGTTTTTAGTGCTCTAAATGGGGTGAAAGTACATCTGTTCACACATTCCCTAGGAAAATTTAATTCAATGCCACCTCATACTTGCCATCCTGTTCATGGCAGTTAGAATGAGCCATGTTTCTGTGTTGGGGGCTCTGCACTACTAGCCCTCTATGAGAAATAATCTCTGCCCACAACACCCTTTTTGCCTCCATTATGTTACAAACCATGTGGAACTGCCAACATTTCTCTATTCAACTCAGTGCTCTGTTGAGCCTCTAGGATTGTTCACATATGTGTGCAGAAATCCAGTCTCCTCTACACTTCCATACTGCATCATCAGTTCTGTGTTCTGCAAAATATTCACACCTCTTTCTTACCTTGAAACAGTACTCATGGCAGCAGATGTCAAGATGTTCAAGTGTAATCTTTGGACAGTCTCGGATCTCATGGCTGCAGTAAGTACAGACCCCTTCAGTTGCTCTAGGACATAGAAACAAGAACCAGGTACTCAGGCTGGTACCCAGTCTTCTGATATGATGAAGCAGATCTAGTTTGTTGTAGACAGACCTAGGTCTACCAGTGTTCTCAGCTTTGCATTGTGTTCTATGTTGTATAAGTGGGAGCCAAACCTGTTTACTGTATCATTCATGCCAAACTGGTTCTCAAACCTGGAACTATTCTCCCAAACCAGTATGGACAGCCCTCTTCTGCATGCCTGGGACCATGCAGCCCATCCCTTCTCCCAGTTACTATCAAAGCCACCCTATCTTTAATCTGATTGTACAGCCTGCTCAGAACCCATCCTAAATTCCTAGAAGAAACTAACTCTGGATCCGTTGTATCCTCTGTTCTAAGATTCCTTTTATTTCTGGGAATCATCTCTGATCCTCCCCACTTTTTTTCTTCCCCTAACAGGAACTACTGAAAGAGGCTTTTTCCTCTGATCCTACAAGCTAAAATTAGGAGTTCTGTCTTCCAGAGATATAGACCTGATTCCAACAGAAGCCAGGGTGTCACTAGCAACCAGGACCTAGCACTGCCATGGACATTGATGGTTTGGCCTCCGTGGTGGTTTCAATGAAAATGGCTAATGTAGGTCCATAGGGAATGGCATTATAAGAAGTGTGGCCTTGTTGGAGTGGGTGTGGCCTTGTTGGAGAAGGAGTGTCACCAGAGGTGGGCTTTGAGGTCTCAGATGCTCAAGTTGTCTTTGGAGAGAATCCCTGTCCTTTAACCAAATTCAGTGATTAATTGATAATGATAGATTCTGGATTTAGTATTGGAACAATGGAGAGCAAGAGTACTCGATCTGTCATACTACTGGAAATTGATATATATCACTTGCTCTTATATAACTGAAAAATTTCAGGTATCTCACCCATTTGCTATCTGTGATTTATATGTGGTTTGAGTGTGTCCCCCAAGGATTCATATGTTAGAAGCTTTGTCTTCAGTGTAGCAATATGACATATGGTAAGATTTTAAGAGTCGGGGCCTACTTACACCTCAGAGGAGAGCTCATCCCTATACTCAGGAAAGATATCCCCATCCTTCACCATAGGCATGCACCTCATCTGGAAAGCACACTAGAGCTGACCCTGTGGTCAGGGACACAGGTGAGTCAACCCTGACCTTGCCCCTCTTGTCTGCTATGTGGTGGCATGGGTGAGAAAAAGATGCCCTCCCCCCCCCTACGCCTTGATACCTGTGACAGGGGAGAGAGTTGGCTTTGGGTTCATGGGAGTGGAAGAACAAGCCCTACTGTAGATCAGCTACAACACATAGGAGAGTGAGCTCTGCACTCTGTCTGGGCAGCATACTTGAGCTGACTGTTGTCAGGATTGTAGGTGAACCAGCACTCACAGTATGAGAATAGAAGAGTGGATTTCCCGCCCCCACGGTATTCCCCCTACAGCAATTGGGAGAAAGGGCCCTGTACCTTGCCTAGGCAAAACAGTAGAGCTGGCCCTGGTAATATGAATGAGGGGGACCTGAATTTCAGGGCCTGACAGCACAAGAACTCCTTGCTGTAGGCTGCATTGGGTGAGCTAGCTGGGGCAGTGCTGCAGAGCTCATCTGGGTAGTGATGATGAGGGAAAGCTAGTGGGCTGACCAATCCAGCTGCCATCCAGACCCAGAATCAGAGCTGTGTGTAGACCCACCCCAACATCCACTGAATTCATGAACTGGTGGAGCATGTGAAGGGGACAAACATACAGATTCCAAATTGCAGAATCCCCACAACACAGTACAACAGATGTCCAAGAGGACCCCCAGTGAGAGCCCATTACAGGTGGTATAGAAGAAACTAGAGACCTCAAATGAGACCAATGATTCATGGCAATGAATACTTGCACATAAAGATTTTATGTGACTCACCAGGGCCACACTATAGCTTCCACAAGATTCTTCTTTTCTTTTTGTTTATTGCTGTTTTGTCTTGTTTCTTCATTTTGTTTGGTTTTTGGTTTTTATTTTAAATTTGGTTTTGTTTTGGGGGGAGAGGTTGCAAGGGCAGAGGGAGGATGTGAGGGGACAGGGAGATAGGTGGGATCAAAACGCATGATATAAAATCCACAAAAATTTAAAAAATTAAATTAAAGAGGAGGAGGTAAGTAGTTCATTGTAGATACTTCCTTGGGAGAGAACAATTTAGTTCTTATAGAGTCAATTTAGTTCCTGTGACACTGCACTGTAATAAAAGAAGCCTGGCATTCCTTTTTTCCACTCTTACGTGTCTTCTAGTCTATGTGATACCATCTGCTATGATATTCCTAACCACAGTCAAATAGATATTAGGTTCATGCGCTTCATTTCAAAGACTGTGAACTAAATAAACTTTTTGTCTTTATAAAGTGTGCATTTGGATATTTTCTTAGTTTGTATGTTTGTTTTTGAGAAAGGGTCTCACTGTATAGCCCTAAGTGCCCTGAAAATTGCTATGTAGACCGAACTGGTCTCAAATTTGCAGATATTCCCCTATTTTTGCCTCCTGAATGCTAGGAGTAAAGGCATGTGCCCATGCCCAGCCGTGGGTATTTTGTTAAAGCAGCATGTAACAGACTATGAAGTCATCTGATGATTGAGTTACCAAGTGATCTGTGATTGTTCACGATTCAGTTATCTGGATTTTTCTTCAGATATAATGGAGGGAACATCTGTAACCTTGTCTGTTTACAAATCCCTGTACTTGTGTGTGTGGAGGAAGAGGAGCACACTAGTAGAATTTGTTCATCTTAACTTTCTCCCCAGTCTAGCTGTGGCTTGTGAGTGTAATACACCATAAGATAGATCTGATAATAAATGAGAACATTTGGCAGAGGTAATATGATCCATAACCTGTTAGAGGTCAAGCCCCAGGATTCATTTTTTGCTTGGCCAGTAACTTCCTATGACTTCTTCCTCTCCTAACCCCACCACACATTATAGATTCACTCTCTAATGCAGATTCTTTTCTTTCCTGTTCTAAGAATTTAAAAGTAGCCCTTTGTTCTTAAGACCATCCTATGATTGTTGTTACCCAGTAACTACTTTCAGGACTGCTTAATGAGGTGTCCTATGCTCATTCAGTTCCACAGCTCCAGGCCACTGTACATCCTTAGTTCTGTCTTCTTAATGATAAAACACATTTTCCCTACACAATCTCTTGTGCAGTTTTGTTTTCTTTTGGCATCTAGCCAAATGTGCAACTTAATCAAATGAATCATTGGGTGCTATTCTGATGAGCTATCCTGCTGTCAAGAGCCTCATTGGGCTTTCTTTCAGACACCGAAATTTCCTTCCTCAGAAGCCTTTTGTGTCTATGCTACATCTGGGTTTACAGGCTTCAATTGATGCAAATGTGACATCCTAATCAGGATGTAGCATAGACACAGTGGGACTGATCTGAAAACAGATCAAACACTTCAAAGCAGAGAAAATGAGGGGATCTTCCTTAGCACTCTGTTCTCTCACCTAGGTAACTGGAAGACCTGTCAAGAAAGCAGACATACCTCTCGGAGGGTGGTATGCCTTCATGTGCGGGGTTCTTCTCCAATGAGTCCTCAGTGTTGCTGGTACTGCAGGAAGTGTAATGGAGAAAAGAGCACAACATGAGTCAGTGGGACCCTCAGTTCCTTTGACCAGTGGGAAAAAAAGACAGAGTTTTACTCCTTGTGGGTATGTATGGGTTACTACGGAAAGTTTCGGAAGCCCATACTCTGAAGAAATCAGAAACTAGTTGTGCCGGCTAATTTTGTCAAGGTGACACATGTTAGAATCATTTGAGAAATGGGAACTTCAGTTGAGAAAATGCATCCATAGATCAGTCTGTAAGAAAACCTGTAGGGCATTTTCTTAATGTGGGTGGTGCCATCCCTGGGCTGGTGGTTCTGGGTGCTCTAAGAAAGCAGATTGAGTCGGGCATTGGTGGCACACGCCTTTAATCCCAGCACTTGGGAGGCAGAGGCAGGCGGATCTCTGTGAGTTTGAGACCAGCCTGGTCTACAGAGCGAGTTCCAAGACAGCCTCCAAAACAATACAGAGAAACCCTGTCTCAAAAAAAAAAGAAAGAAAGAAAGCAGGCTGAGCAAGTTATGAGGAGCAAGCCAATAAGCAGCACCCTTCCATGACCTCTACATCAGTTCCTGCCTCTAGGTTCCTGCCCTGTTTAAGTTCCTGTTCTGACTTCCTTCAGTGGTAAAGAGTGATATGGAAGTGTGGGTGAAATAAACCCTTTACTCCCCAAATTCATTGTTTAATCATAGCAACAGTAACCCTAACTAGGGCAGAAATTGATACCAGGATAGTTGGGTATTGCTGTGACAGACTTGACCATGTTTTGGGGAAGAATGTGGAATGACTTTGGAACTCTGGGTTAGAAAAGTTACTCACTGTTCAAAGTTTGGTGAGCTGTTCTGTGGGAACTTGGAAATTAAAAATGCTGACAGCAATGCAGATGATGGAGGCCTGGCTTGTGAAGTTTGAAAGAGAGTCCCTCAATGATTCTTATAAGGGCTTTTGCATATTCTGAGTTAAGAATCTGTGGTTCTGGTTAGCTGGGGCTGAAATATTATCTGTGATTAACAAAAGACTACAACCATTAAAGTGAAACTGGTTTTGCTGAGATTCTCAATGTTGGTCAGAAATCAGCTCTGATTAAGAGACCAGTGTCATCGAGGTGAAATCTTATGGGACATGTTTGCTAAGAGTCAGCACACAGAAGTTGTGTTCCAGAGGCAGTATAAGAGTAACCAGGTGGTACTGGATTTGAAGGCATGAAGGTGTGGGTCATGGGGAACTGTGTGGCAGGGCTGCAGTCCCTGAAGAGAGCTCAGGAAAGTTTACTGGTGAAATTACAGCCCAGTATTTTGGAGATGCAAGTACCATGGGATGACCACCAAGAATAACATCAGCAGTAGAATGGAGCTAGCCGAAGCCTAGAGAAGACAAGCTGTGTGCACTGCAGAGGGCAGAGCTGGAGAAGTGACCCAAGCCCTTTGGAAGAGCCCAGAAGATGGTGAGTGGATTCCAGACATTGGATAGTGAGTTAACAGTTGGAGTTTGGTTTTACTTTGATTTCATTGTGACTGTGCCTTGGTTCCTCCCTATTGAAGTAAAAAACAATTATTTTTTAGGCACCCACAATTGAAACATTGATTTTTTTTAAAAAAACTGGGCTTTTAAAGGGACTGAATTTTTAAAGACTCTAGGACTTGTAAATTATAGAATCTTTATAATGTAATATAGATGCCAACATGTGATCTTGAGGATGAATAACAAAGTAAAACTTATGGCTTAATAGTGATGTGCTTGTGTGTCAAGCTGACAAAGGGTCATTTGTGTTGGCTAGTTTTATATCAACTTGACACAAGCTGGAGTATGGGTGGGTGGTACATCACTGAAAAGACATGAAACTACCTTCCTGCATGGCATCAGAAAGCGAACAGACAAGGGGATCAGTGAAATGGTGTCTGTATATGAAGCCACCTATCATGAAAGAACATGGGGGCTAAAGATGATTTTCTATCCACCTCACTATACAGAAAACCTGGAGACCCACAAATCATGCATTAGTAGGCATCTGCAGTATGCCTTCATTCACTGGCTGATTACCCAGCAGCTATTTTCTACTGAGTTCTGAATGAAGAAATGGGATGCAGGAATGAAGTCAGCATAGGGCCTGGCACAAATTAGCTGAAACTTGTTCTTACCTGCCATAGTGTGAAAACACTGGCTTTCCAGAAGGCACTTCACTAACATTCATGTATTCCTTCACGAAGAGAATCCCTTTGCTGTAGAAGGAGCACAGCAGAATAGGATGTATACTAGAAGATTCCAGGGGGCTGGGCCTGGCCCACAGAGGAGGGTCAGTGCCCCCTGCCCAGTTTGATGGAAATGCAGAAGCTCATGTGCAGGCCTAGGGTAGAGAGGTGGTGGGCTCCACAAGGCAGGCTATTGATGCCATTGTACACATGGGGTCAAATCTTTGCTCCTTGGTTTATTCTGTGTTTGGTCTGAGATGTAAAAGATGTAAAAGGTGGCTTCCTGAAATCAATGGTAGAATGCTCTCTTCCATGGAAGCCTCAAGCCCCCAACCCCCTCTCCCAGACTTCTGTGCTTCAGCCCCTCTGCTTTCCTTTTCCTCTTCTGTGGCTGAGTCTTTCCCCCACCCCATTCTACCGATATCAGAATATTATGTGGCTCTTTCTGCTCAGCACCTTACCTGTAGCATTTACTTCCTACTTCATATTCCCTTATCAATCATGTTTCAGGGCCCTGCAAGCCACTTTACTATATGCTTTTGGAAAGCCTCTGTAAGCTTTGGAAACTTGATACTCTGCTGGCTCAGTGTAATCCCATTGTTGACCCTCAGTTCCATGCTCCAGTCCCCTGGCCTGTTATCAGCACAGAACTTTTTTGGCATCTCAATACATACCTCTCACTCAGCAGACTCCCTAGAATGGCACCCATTCTTGTAAGCTAAAAAGTATTCAATAGTACAGCTGAAGGAATAGATATGAGAAAGACAGAGAGACAGAGACAGAGAGAGAGAATGGCTTGGCCTCCATGACTTTCATGGCTTTTCCCAGGCATGTCCCCAGAGATGCGAACAAGGACCTACAGATGGCAAAGCCCTATATGTTCCACTTTCTCTTCTTGTTGAGATGAGGAGTAGAAAAGCATGCTACAGAATCATGTCCAATCCTACCAATAGGCTTGGGGAAGGTAAGATTTGTACCTGAGGAACTAAGAACTATACTATATCTGTCCATTTGCTACTAGGATGCTAGGAGTCTGAAGAGACATCATAGACAAAGCAACACAGAACAAAAGGGGCATCCTTTACTTGCAAGGAGGTTATAGGTAACCTCCATACCCAAGAACATTGCAACTTGATAGATGCCCCTTCTTACATAGTTGAGCTGGAGTGCAGCTCACTTGAGGTGGCTGGAATATGCAAGTGAGTCTGTTCAGAGGTGACAGAAACATTAACAATAACCGTGTAACTTGAAGGGCTTTTCAGCCTGAAAGAAAAGGAGAAGAGTGAGCATGTCTCTACTTTCTGAGTTAAATAGTACTTCATTTACTAAAAAAACATGCCAGTGTTTTTGGAACAGTAACTGCAAATCTTAATTATTGCTCTTGAATTTTTCTCAGAGATCAGTGAATGGAGTCTCAATCTCTCTCTCTCTCTCTCTCTCTCTCTCTCTCTCTCTCTCTCTCTCTCTCATATCTATATATCTATAAATAAATCCAAGTATGATGGGAAGAGATATGGCCCACTTCAAAATGACTCAGGGGTGAAACTTTCACCTTTCAATTTTTACTCTGATTTATGGACTGCAGCCTAGGGCCTTGGTGTTGATAACTTATCCATCAGGTTACTGGGAATATGGCAGCCAGGAGGGAGTAGCTGGGGAAAACTGTAGTTTGCTAGTTTGGAAACCAGACAAGGCAATCTTTTTGTAGGATTAACAACTCCCTTACCCCATATCAGACTCCCTGGAGAACTGCAGGTCATGGGAAGAGAGTTGGACTCAGGCATTAATGAGAATGTAGGTCAGATGTACCTCATTCTGTAAGACACCAGTCACCTTGGCTGCAATGGCCCTGGTCCTAGATGTCAACCTCCTAGGCAGCTCACAAGGTCTTTCTTTGCTCAGCCCTTACTGACTCAGTATGAATATCCCTGATTAATAGTACAGGCTCTAGACTCTTGACTGTGTGCATTCTAATTCATGTTAGGACCTTTCATATGAAAACAGTGAGATCCAGCTGTGACAAGAGACCCTGTCTCAAAAAATAAAGTGGAGAGGCTTGGGAGGATAAAGGTATTTGTCACACAAATGTGAGAACTGAATACATATAGAAATCTAGGCAATATGGGAGCCAGCTATAATCCCAGCATGGAGAAGTGGAAATAGGGTATTCCTGGGGCAAGGTGGCTAGCTATACTAGCAGGAATTGGCAAGCTCCGGGGTCATCAAGAGACTCTGCCTCGATAAAGAAAGAATTAGCAAAGATATCTGATGCCAATTTAGACCCATGTTTGTATGTGCACCTGTACCCACTATGTATCTACACATGCAAACACTTGCACACCACACACACACGATGGCAGGGGTAAAGAGACAAAGTAGAAAAAATCAAGGAGACTCCCCAATACCTGCAATGTAAACACTAAGAGGTCTCCAAAGTTCTTCATCCCCAGTGATAAGGAAAAATTCCTTTTCCTTCCCAATGATTTCCTTTCCCTAACCTACAAAAGCCCACCTCCTGTGCCCTGTTCACCTTACTCTATCCCTGTCAACCACAGGACCCATCTTTCAGACCTCTTTCCTTTGTGTCGGTTGCTTTTTTCCAGCTGCTACAGACCTTCCCTGTTAACAACACTTTTCCTGAGTCACTCTCTGTCACAGCACAAGGTTTTCTTCCTTGGCTTATTACAAACAGCAAAAAAGTATGCACATCCTGGTGTGCAGTGCAGGCTGTGGGATCTGACTCTATCCTAATTCCTGTTAAGACTTTCAGAACTGAGAGACGTGAAAAGGCAAAGGTCAAAATCAAGTCAGAGGGCAGAATAATAGGCAGGAAGCCCGAGAAATAAAGGAATACTGAAGATAATAAGCACGTGCTGCCTGGATCATCAGCCTCTCCTACACAGCCTGCTAAGGCAGTAGCCAGGGGCAGCTTCCAAGGGACCCACGATGGATGGATGTGGAGTTCACAAAGTTCCATCACAGAAATGGAAATGAAAAGGGACATTGTAGGAATAGGGAGAATGCCATCAAGTCATGCCATTTTCTCCTGCCCTCTATGTCATGTAACAGCCCTTAAGCTCACATAGTAAGTGATAATTGACAGAGTAGTCCAGGATGGAGAACAGTCATACAAGACTTTGGAAAATTAAGAGTTTTTTTTTCCAAAGTGAAAAAATATTGTATAAGCAACCTTGGTGTGGCCAGGCTCTGCTCTTCTGGCTTCAGAAAACTTCCACGCTGGGAGGCCTGAATTGCTCACAGAAAGTGAAGGTGAAAACATTGTTTACTTTCTATTGTGCTCTGCCTTGGTCTTTGAGCCTCTCATAGAATACCTCTGACACTTGTTTCCTCGAACTCCTGCTGTCAGCCTATTTCAAGCACTACACACTCCTAGGTCAGCACTACAGAGGTGATTTATTGCCTTACTTGTCCTTCTCTGGCTATCCCAGTGGTGCAGCAGTACTCAAATACCTTGCAGCCTTTAATTATGGTAATAAGCCTCATTCACACCAGGCTCTACCTTTCTGAAGCCTTACAACCCAATGGATGCAAAAATACCCCATATCCTTAACTCCAACCCCACATATTCAGGCTTCAACTGGATGCTGGACAACATGGTGCTCTATTGTAGTCTTGTTCTAAGAGATATGATGCTATGACTCCAAGAGGAGATCTGCACTTTAAGTCCTTGTTTGGTCTGCTTCCTGCTGCTTTGTAGCCAATCATGCCTGCAAAAGGAAACAGGCCTGTACATGGATTCGGCCTGTGTTGTGGCCCCTGACATCTGGGTCAGGGCAGCAGGCTGCCAGTGCAGGCCCTTACTTGTTGGTACTATCATCCAGTTTGATTTGCTGCTCAGGTCCGCTGGGGCTGCTCTCTGGCTCTGGGGTACTGGGATCTGCAAGTTGTTGATTCGCCACAGCTCCGTGTTCTTGGCCTCCTTGAGGGGCCTCGGGTGTCTCCTGCCAGGACTCGATGATCTTGGGGGCTGCATTGTTCTCATCACTAGCAGCTGGAGTACTGAGAAAGAATGAATAGTGTATATATTATGCTGAGAGGAGCAGAGACCTGACCTTTGCTGGGTCTCTGGGGTCTGGATGTCACTTCCCCAGAGCATTGGGGAAACAATCTCAAGAGCCAAGCAGCCACCTAACTCTTAGAAAGCAGGCAGTCTCAACGTGGCAATCACAGCCACCTTGGTTTGATTCCATGACTTCAATCTTTACTAATTCTTCCATTTATCCAAGCATTTCCTTCTTGGTACCACAAACAAATCATCTTCCTTCCCCAAGCCCTTCTGTATTTTCCTTCAGATTTCTGGCCTACATGGTTTTGCTTCTGATTTTTCCCATTGTGATGGTTAATCTTGACCACCAACTTGATGGGGTTTAAAATTATGTAGAAGACATACCTCTGGGCATATATATGGGAGTGTATCCACAGAGACTGAATTGAGGAAAGAAGATTCTCCTTGAATTGGGGTGGCAACATGAGTTGGGACTCTGAGCTGAATAAAAAATGAAAGGGGAGGAACAGAACTGAAGAGCATTTGGCTCTGACACATGCCTTCCCTACCATGGTGGACTTCTTCCCTCAAGCTGTGAGTTGGGTGTTCTGTCACAGCAAGGAGAAAAGTAATTAATGTAACTTTTTCCCATTCCATGTCCTTGCTTAGGATTTTAGGAGAGAAGACACTCATTATTACCTCTGTTTTTCTCATTTCGAGTTAAAAAAGAAAGCATAAATGGAGGTAAATGTATACTGATGAAGGTTTGGTGCCTACAAGTTTGGAACCAAAACGAAGCCTCCATTCACATCCCTGAACCACATGGATTTACCCAGGTAAGTGATAGCAACAGCTATTCAGACAACTGGCACAGAGATTTTGTGGAAAAAAGCAGAGATTTGTTCTTGCCCATGCCCTTCACTGGTTACCTATAAGCTGACAAGTCTCAGTACTCTAGACAGAGATCATATCTTTATACAACTTCAGCTTACTGGGCTGGCTTGTCACCTGGATCCCCTACAAAGTCAATATGGCCCAATGACCTTAACATTACACCTGTACAGCAATTCCTCTAACTTCCTCATTCTCAGCTAGCTCCTTCAAGTGTCCACCCTGTCACTCCAAACAGAAATCTGGGAGCATCTTTGGGTACCACCTTTCCATCACTATCACATTTAATTAAAGTCATCTCACCCTCAATCTGAGCCACAACCTCTGCACATGTCTCCTGCCTTGTGTGCTGTGCATCTCCCTGGCCTGACATTCCTACAACTCATCTTCTCAGGGCTGTGTCCTACATGAAAACCATGTTGGTTGGTCCTTTTGGTCCTCAGGAGCAAGTGTTGGCCAGCCCCCTCTAAGTCTTCCCTGGAAGGTCACCAATTCGCTTTCATTCCCTATAGTCACCCTGACTCTCCATTCACCAGATACCCTACTCTTTGCCAGGCCTCTGGTTTCCTGAACCTGGAATGTCTTCTCTAGTGCATTAGGGGGAAATTCTCCTCAGCCTTCAAACCCAGCTCCAATCTCACTGTTCCTACAGAGAAAGCCACACTACTATTGCCTATCCATCACCAAAGAAAAGGAAAACACAACCAATCACTTTGTCCTGCATCTGTAGCTGCACTTTTTAAAACTTACTTTAAAAAGTTTTGTTTATCTCTTCATTGTACTTGGTACTGTGTTACATAAACACAATTTTAAACATTTTGTTTACTGAGCACATTTCCCCCAGACACCTTACCTCCCATTTCACACACCCCTCCAACTAATTCCCTTTGTTCCCCTAGACAGTTTCATTTTTATTTGATGTCATTGATTTTATGTGCCTTTTTAAAAAAATCTATGAACAATAAAAGAGAGAAAACATGATTGTCTTTCTGGGACTGACTTAATATGATGATCTCCAGTTACATCCATTTTCCTGCAAGTGACATAACTTTTTATGGCTAAAAAGAATTCCATTGTGCACAGAGACCACATTTTCTTTATCTGCTTGTCTGTTATGAATAGTAGGTTGTATGTTTTATAGCCCTAAGTGCACAGACATGAAGCACTGAAGGAAACCACGCGATGTGATGGTAACTACAAAGTTGTTTAATCAATGTCCTTGTTCAGTTGTACCTTTTCCTGTCTCCCTTGTTAGAAAGAGTTTTGACTCTCTTTATCACTTCTGTCTTCTGTGAGGAATCCTTTGCTTTGCTCCTCATGACAGTCCAATACTTTTTTTTGTACCGTAGAAATCACAAAGCAGCACAAGCACTCTGCATGTACTGATCTGTGTGCATGCCCAGAGATTTGTGGAACAACTCTTTCTCTTGCTTCCTCGTCCTGTCTATGTTTCACTATGGTACCCCTTTTCATTCTATTTCTGCCTCCATCGCAGTCTGGCTAACTCATACTCTCTGTCATACCATTCTACCTCATGCACTGGGAAATAGCCAGGCTTCTTGCATTGATTACAGCCCTGTCGCATTTTCTTAAATCCCAGGAAGCTGTCAACATTGCCTGAGGACTAGGCTATCAATATCTTGAGCACATTCAGAGAAGAACCCAGGCAGTGGCTGTGCCGATGTGCTACACAATGGCCTGGAGTGAGAGAAGCAACCCCTACCTATATTGCGGCCCTCACAGAAACCTTGAACACAGGTATCAGAAGGCCAATGTAAGACCTTACCTGCTAGCACAGGCTTCAAATTCAGTGAGCTGATTGGGTGCACTGGGGCTGCTCTTGAGCTCTGGGGTGCTGGGATCTGCAGAACTTTCAGTGGCCATGGCTGCGTTTTCCTGGCCTCCGTCTGTAGCACCAGCTGTCTCCTGACAGGCCTCAATGGTCTTGGTGGTCACATTCACCTCACGATCAGCTGAGGAGCTGAGGAAGAACAAGTGTCATTCATATAGAAGGAGGCCCAACGGACTGTCCCACTGAACTCTTGATTGTTTATCTCCCATGGGCACAGGATGGGGACACTCACATCTAAAGAGAGGAGCCACTGAAAAGGGATGCCACCATGTGTCACAAACACAGTAATATTTCATGTAATGTTTTACACCTGAAGCCAACAAGGAGGGAGTATCTTCCTCAGTTTTCCTGCATTGGACTCACCACTATGCCTGCACTATACTCTCAATGGTGGAAGCCACAGGAAAGACAGTAGATACTAGATTCCCACTTCTCGTACATCCCCTCCCATCACCATTCCTGTCTCCAAAGACAACGAAAGGCCAGATTGCTAAGACTGTAACCCTAGCATTCCAGCATTCCTTCCTTCGTCACTCCAAATTCAAGTTTCCTACAAGATAGGAAAAAGCACAACTATCATCCCATAAATGGATGTTAAACCCATAGCAGGCAGGCTCTAAACCAGTCTAACAAAGAGAATGACTGGTAGTCATGGTTAGTTTAACACTTCAGCCTCAGGTAAGGAGAAGCTAAAACTCTTCTGCAGTGAAAAGAAACCAATTGTCACCTCCAGCTGTACCAGGAAGGCATAGTGCTCTGTAGAAACAGAGGGTTGTTCTGGCCAAATCCTTGAGCAGATAAAAGATTATGCAGAGAGCAGTTTGGAGGCTAGGGCAATATAGGTACATCCTAAGCCTTGGAGCAGTGCCACTGCAACTTCAGGAGTTGAAAAAGAAATACAAGTCAAACACTCACAGGATGCCTTTCTGTGCAATAGAACATTCTGGAGGGGGTCTTAGTTTCCTGTCACTCTGCAGAGTGGATAGAGAGAAAATAGCACCGAAGGAGGTCAATGGATGTGAAATTTGCTGTCTTCGATGAAGCCTGCACAGAATCTGGTAGCTAAGATGGCCACTGCCAACTCCTGACCTAAGTACACACAGAAGACAACACCACTTTCTACATATGCACAATGTTACCAACCACTTCACAACAGTTGCTAGCAGTGAGAACATGCCAAAAAGTCACCCTCTCATATAGGATACTAACTAGAAAAAAAACTCAGTCTAGAGGGGAAAAGGCAAGACTGTTATTAAGTGACTGAATAAATGAATAAAGAAAACTGGCAGTGGGAAACAGAGGATAGCTTTCTGAGTATCCTTGAATACTTTCAAGTCAAAGAAATGTTTCTCTATAACTACTTATAGTATTTTGTGCCCTCCCCAAAGGTCCCACGTGCTTTACATATGTAAACTCATTTAGCTCTCTTTAAACTCAAGTTATTTCCATTATTGTTCATATAAGAGCTGAAAGACGCGCCAAAGGTCCCATTGAGATACCTTGGGCTTAAATCCAAGCTTCAGAATCCAAGCTCTTAGCTCACCATGCACAATCAAACCCCTACAACTTTTGACAGTTAAATGAACTCTGTGACCGGGGCAAAACTTTGCCCCGTGTCTGGTACAGATCTCATGTCCCTCAATCAGTCTGTTTATCAAATGAACAGGTAATTGAGAATCCACACAGCAAAGTTCCAGCCCAAACGAGGGGGAGGTGAGTCATGGGTGGAGGGCTGAGTGGACCTTGAGGTCCAGGCGGTACTGCAGTAGCCACTGCAGACTGCCCAGGTGAGGCCATCCACAGGTTGACCACCGTAGCCAGATGTCCTCCTGAAATTGGTAGGGTGGGGTGGGGGATGGGCAACAGAGATGCACAACTATGATCATTTGTTATCCTCCATCGCCATCTTATGGCTGCTGCGGAAACTGCCTCAGAAGCCCCGTTGACGTCACTCTCCCGGGCAGCCATTTCGCCTTTAGCACTGTCTCATTTCCCAGCCGGTAATGCAGCCTGAGCTCTGGGCTGTAGGAAATGGCTGCGCGAGTAAGTGTATTCATACTCAAACGCTGGCCTAGACACCGACGCCCAGAGCGTCATACGCATGCGCAAAGCAGCAGGCACTGCACCAAATTGTAGACCTGCGCAACTAAAGTATACTGCAGTCTAGCTGGATTAGGCACAGGCGCATGCGTCCTGTATCCGCAGTGCCTGTCTGCAGCAGTGTGATTGAACCTATGGTTTCACATCATCAGTGTGTACCCGAAATGATGGTGTTAGAGGAGAGCTTGTCAATCTTAAAACTATGAACATTTTTGACTGGATAAAGCTGCTGTATGTGTTGAGAAGAATAAGGCACTATTTTCACTTGTGCTATAGATCGCTTAGCAGCATTTATAATTCCAATCCTTTAGAAGCCACCCTTGGTTGTGGTATCCAAAAATATCTGATTATTACGAGATGCCACAGGAGAGTAGGGGGGTGGGCAGGGCAAACCCCTGATTAATAACTACTACCCTTAAGATTGGTTCCCATTGTATATTGGAGAAGAGAGGACAATGGAGATCTTAAGAAAAATGCTGGAGACATATGCTCAGGAAATTAAACAAAAATCTCAAGAAGTGTTTCGTTATTAATACTGCCCCAGACAGGGGCTGGAAAGATGGTTCAGCAGATAAGAGCATTGTCTACTCTTTCCAGAGGGCCTGAGTTCAATTCCCAGCATTCACATGCAACTCAAAACCATCTGTAACTCCAGTCTCCGGGGATTTATCATCCTCTTCTGACCTCCACTGATACTGCATGCAGGTGGTGTGCAAATATACATGTAGGCAAAACACTCATACACATACAAATTTTAAATGAAAAAAACCCAAGAGATTCTTAAGCACAGCCATTTTTATCAAATCCTGTCATTAGGAATATTTGCATTGATTTTTCAAACTGGTAAACATCAAAGGAATGTACCTCTTGGAACCTGGGCTTTACAATTGGCCAGATTTAGAATGTATTCCTAGTTCTCTCATCACATGAGTGGACACAAGTTTCCTTCTCTGTCAAATTGTACAGTCAGAAATCTTTCTTGCTTTGGGGAATGTTAACACCAGATTAACGTACCAGCTGGTCCTGACATTAGGCTCCAAACAAATTGTATCAACTAGTTTGCTGAAATTTCTCTTAAGGTTTCTATAAACCTATTTATTAGGACTCAGCTATGTCACAGGTATGGTTTTGGATAAGTCACTTAACTTTTCTGTTTGCTTCCCCATTTACCTATATCACAGTTATTGGGACAACTTTAAAGCACATAAAGACAACATACTGTAACTATTATCAGCTAATATTTTCACTGAGTGCTAATTGTTAGTGTAATTTAAGATAATAAATGGTGCATAACAAGGCCTGATAGAGAGGCATTGTCCACACCACCTCCCAACATATGATTAAAGTAAAAAGGCAATTGTAGTTGTAATATGTACATCCAAACACCCATTCACTTTAAGCCCATAAACCACAACAGTCTCTTCTTAGGATTAAAATCTGATTGATAAGGTCTAGCTGTCATTCTCTCACTCATTAGTTACCAGCTTTGCCTTGGAACGTGCTAGGCACATTTCTCCACAGAGTTATTGGATTTGCAGTTGTTTAGCTCCGGCTGTCCCTCTTCTTTCTAGAGTTGATTTTTTTCTCTTTATTCACTTGAACTACCTCCACCACCCCCACAATCCCTTTAACAAAGTATCCCTCCTGACCACCATCTCCCTATTTTAGGACCATGGCTGTTATCTTCAGAGCACTGTCCTTCCAAGAAGACACACGGACCTGGATTTCTAGCCTTTAGTCTTCATACAAACTAGGCATAAACCTGATAAGTACCATGGAAACACAATAGAAGGCTATAACAGGAGAATGGATCATGGAGAAAAGCATCAAGATTAACATTGCAAAGAAACCAATGTTAGAAGACTGGATCTCTCCACACATACATCACAGGCTACATCTAATAAAATAGCACAAATGAGAAAAATTTCATGATTTCAAATGTGTGAGTATGTGGGCCTATGTAAATGGCCCCAAAAAGGATCAAGATTGTCCTTATACAATGTTTTTGGGCTTGAGGATGTTCCCAGATCCCTTCTCTTCTCTTCTCTTCTCTTCTCTTCTCTTCTCTTCTCTTCTCTTCTCTCTCTCTCTCTCTCTCTCTCTCTCTCTCTCTCTCTCTCTCTCTCTCTCTCTCTCTCTCTCTCTCTGTGTACATGCCATGCACATGTGTGTGCATGCATACTTCCCCCCAAGCATGTTTGGAGGCTAGAGGACCACCTCAGGTCTTAATCCTTAGTTATGCCATCCATCTCCTTTGAGACAGGGGCCTCTCACTGGCCTGGAACCCAGCAATTAGGCTAGACTAGTGAGCCAGCAAGAGCCAGAGATCCTCCTGTCTCCACTTTCCCATTGGTGGAATGTCAAGCTTCTTATGTGAGTCCTGGAGACTGAAACAGGTCTTTCTTGCTTGCAGTACATGTGCTTTGCCAACTGAGCCATCCTGAGTCCCCCAATTCCATTCTCAGGAATGTTCTTCTGTTTCTTAATAAATGGTCTCTACTGCTATTTCTGTGGTTCTATTCTCATTGCTTGGGTGGCTGCCATTTCCATCCAATATATAACTTCAAAACCAATATCCACTGATCTATCCCAAAGACCCCTTCTGCTGTAGCACTGATTTGTTACTTGAAAGCAGCATCACAGCTTCATTGTCTGAAAGTGGGATGGAGCAAAAGGAAAGTGCCACCCCATCAGCTGAAGGACAGTGACATTTCTTGATTGGCATGCTTTTTCACTGGAAGCAATGGTAGCTAATAGAAAGCTTCCTGGCACAGAGAGGGGCCAGAAAGTTTCAGCTGGATCTTCTGTCCCTCCACATATTTCGTGCTAGTTCACAGATATAGCTGGCTTCATCTTCCTAGCCAAAGCCTGGCAGATGCCCAAGCTGTCTGGGTTTCCAGCACTGTCTGCTAATGCCTTACCCTTTGGGGTCTGTCTTTTCATTTTCCAGGTCTGCTGCACTGCCGAGCTTCTTGTTATCCAGGGAAGAACGTATCATCATGTCAGACCTGAGGATAGGAAGCACAAAGGTCTGCTGAGGCTCAGAACAGTGGACACTGGAGTCCATGGCTTCCCCTTTGCCAGTTGCCTTCTCAGAGGAAAGGGAAGGACTGGGTTTGCAGTTAAGAAAGAAGGTGCTGTCTGTTCCACTAAAGTCACTGCCATTCCCAGAGAAGTGTTTTCTAAGACTTGGCCTTCTCGTCGTGGCTGTACATCATTGAGATTTGTCTCCCCAAATCCTCCTTGTTGGAGTACACTACCGTTTTTATGAGGGCGTATAAACAGGAAGGATGACTCCAATGAATGAACAGTCAAAGAGAAAGCCACCCAGAGCCACGCCCAATCACACTGAATCAGATGTCTTCTATAGTAGTCAACAGCACACTAAACCAGTTTGCATCACTGTAGTACAGGAGAAAGAAAAGGCTGTGTATGGAGTCCCCACTGTCATGCAGAACTATGTGAGCTAGGGAAAAGGATTTGGACTTAGAGCTACTGGGAAGTTGAAAGAGGGGATAAATGTATCCTGGTTTATTTTGGGAAGATTTCTCTGATGCTTGCACTGACAGCAAAATGATACATTAGTGTCAAAATCAACTGAGTTCCCTGGCCCACTGGCCTTTCTTAGACCTGCTCAGACACAGAAATGTCAGAGGTGGGGTCTACTGTATCTGGTTCCAGGCACCCATTGTAACTAGGTATGTCAGTGAGAAAATGAACCTTCCAAGAGAACCAGTTGGGGAAGCAGCCAGAAGAGCATCCTCACTGGAGGCTCCTGGGTAGACTTCAGGAGATCATGGGGTTGGGCCAGCCCTGTAGCAGTTTTAGCTCTCTACAAACCAGCCATAAGGTTGCTAGCACATTTTTAAACTAGTCTTTGTCTCCAGGGATGACTCCAGTGTGGTTTGGAACCACATGGGGATAGGTAGAACCTTGTTACCTCCTCAAATCACCGGATAAGAGTGGCTCATGACTCAGTCAGGGCATTCTTATCTCCTAGCTTGTTGCATTGATCAGGGAAGAGTGTGAGGCAAGCAAGAGATTTAGGGGCTTCTTCCTCTTCTGGAAAGGGAGAAATAAGAGACAAAGGGCCCCTGAATTTGTCCTCAGAGCTCAGCCGTGAAGTAAGAAGGAACTGATTTTTCCATTACTGTTTCTTCTACCTTCCTCACACATTCATTCTACCTAAGGCTAGTCCATAATGACAGATGGACCTTTAGTTATGAGTTAAGTGCTTGTATTTGCTCTTCAGGGATTTGAGAGTTGATGATGGAGGTGTGGGAGTGGCTAACTGGAATGGAAGTAAATCCAACAAGAAGTAGAAAAATCCAAGGGCAAAGGATGTGGGGGGCAGTACAGAGGAGTCCTACTCCCAGCATCCCAAGTAGTTTCACTGCTTGAACCTGGCCTCTCACCAGGGGTCTGAGAGAATTGTGCCCCACTAGTATCTCACCCTCTTTTCTCTGTGCCAATGCCTGCTCCAGTCAGACCTTCTGGTGGGGATTCTGTGGCTCCTGGCTCCTCATGGCCATCATTCAACTGTGAAGCTGATCTGATATTAGAAGAGAAACATTTGTTGACTTTGTGTAATTTAGATGTCTTGAGACAATGTCTCATGACTTGGGAGCAGAAGTCTTTGGTTGCCTGCCTAAATTGCTCTGATCAGAGCCAATCCAAGCCTAAGTATTTCTCTTTCATTCAAATTTAATGGTTTATGAATATGAAAGGAAACAAAATGGGCTAGAAACTAGGGGGCAGGTACTCACCTTGGTGGTCAATGGTTATCAGAGCAAGCAACAAGGAATTCGGGGCTGCTAGTAAGCCAGAGAGGGCAGACAAATAAACTTCCTGTTTATCTAAGGCCCTCTTCCCTCATTCCCAGGGATCACACCAGGGGTCTAGGTCTGTGAGAGGGACAGCCTGATCTGGACTTGGTTCTCCTCTGCAATTTGATATCTGGGGAAATATTACAGTTTTGCTCTCTATAGGCCCACCCCCTCTCTCCCTTTACTTTTCCCTCTGAAGATACCCAACAATAGTACAGTGCTGGACTGTATTTCAGCTACTACTGACTGTGGACCCAGGCTCATGGAAGCTCTTTAGCTGAGTCTGCTCTCAGCAGTGAGTTACCTTCTAGAGTCTGTATTGTAATTCTTAGTTTCATCCTCACAAGCTGAATCTCTTTTTAATTCTTCAGAGAGTGATACTTCATTGCTTTTGTGGGAAGACTTGAAGAGCAAAGATATGACTTAACTACTCCTCAACCACCCACACTCTGATGGTTATCCCATCCTTAAATGCCAACTGTCTCTTAGGGGTTGAAAATTTGCTAATGATGGGCTGGCCAACTCGCATATCCTCATTATTAGTCACTTGTTGACTAGGGGCCAGATTCTATTCTTCTAACTTTCCAAACATTAATTGTCCACATCAGCTTCAAGATATGGGTAATACTGTCATCCACACTCATTTTCCAGATGTGCCACATGATGCTCAGAAGGCCTGAGTGGTGTGCGCCCTAGTCTGTGATCTTGATAGCCTGTCTTCTGGCTGTCCACCCCACTGCTTCTGCCAGAAAAAGAGCTTGGAGCTTTGTGTTCCCTGATGGATGTGGCCCCTATATCCATCCTCATCCCAAGCACAGGGTACTGTGGCATTATGCACCGGGGAGGCAGACCCAAGGACCCCACCCCAATGCCTTCTTCTATAAGCAACACAATTAAAACCGTGGCTTTAATAAAGGGCCACACAGACCCAGTGTCCCCACCCAGCTCTCCTGGCCTGGCCCTTCACTTTCTGAGGACATTGAGGTACATGATATGGTCAGCACTGTAGGCTGATCTAGTTCATATTAGCATCTGTCTCTTTCATTAGAGTCAGTAGTTCTGGCCCAGGGAGTCCCATGGCAAGGTCTTTGGCCTCACAAAAAACAAATACTCATTATATAATTATTTTTGAATAAAATATTGAGACAGTGATGGAGAACCCAGGTTGGTTACACCTCCTACCAACCAGTCATCCCCCCAGTGCCTCTCTGCTCATCTTGGGAAAGGTGTAAATGGAGGCAGGACAGCAATGGGGCCCCAGTACCTCAGGGTTTCCTGGTCTGAGGCCACTAGGTGGAGTCCTGCTCTGGGGGTTGTGATTTGCAAGCGGATGATCTCCTCAGTTTTCAAGCTGCAGGCCAAAGGAGAGACTGGATAATTTCCGTGAGAGAAGCTTCCTCTTTCCCTCTGTGTCAGCATCCAAGTGCATTCTCCATCTGGTGCTTCCCTAATGTGTGATACCCAGCCCCATCTTCCTCCCCCTCCTTGCCCTCATCTGTTCTGTTTTTGAGCCTTCTTGGTACTGTAGCTAAACTGAAGCCATTGACCCTTTGGTCTGTGAAAGGATATCGCCAGTCTCCCACTCCGAGCTGACGCTAGACCATTCTCAGAAAATAAAGGGGCTTCTAGATGGGCATTTGAACAGATTTGTCTGGTAAGACGAACGGTGAGATGGGCTTCAAGTGGAAGTGAGGGTCTGACATGGTCAGGCTGACATTTTAGAAAAGCCTACAGGGCATGGGAGGCAGCAGCCAGAAAGCAGGGAGGTAGGCAGTTCCCAACCTAGACTTGTAGATGCAGGAAGAAAGGTAGGCAATCCATAACCTACATCACAGCCCATGGACGACTAAATCTGGTTGCTTTACTCTGTCCCTTAGTCTCTACCCTGAATGGACAGTGGGGATCCTGGAACTGACTTATAAGAATAGACCCTCTTCCTTTTCTGGCTTCACAGGTTTATCCAGGGTGCCATGGAGGTATGACCCTTAGAAAACTATGACATTAGCCAAAGACTCTACCCAGGCTGAAAGCAACAGCAACAGGAAAGCTTGTACCCCCTGTCAGACTCAGCACCATCCAGTGAAAAGTACAAGGAAGCACTGAGGGCTTGCCATCTGCAAAGAAGAAGAGTGCCAGTAGCTGCTGGAACGCTCAGAGTTTGGAATCAGGGCAAAGCATATCCACACCTGAAGTGAGACGGGCAGGACTTAGATGGCCTTGCACTATCACTCCACTGCTAGACCTTCCTTCGTTGCCAAACACAGCCAGTCAGATCAGTGGGAAACCATGTTACCAGCTCATACTCCAGAGCTGGTTCTTGACACTCACCTGGATTCCTGGCTTCCAGAGGGGCTGGGCACACTTGGCATGCACTCAATACGAATTGCTTGAGACAATTGGGTTCTGCCTCTATTCATACTGTCAAAGAAGGCAGATGTGAGATGTGCTGGAGACATCAGGACTGTCTCCTAGGTAGGGTAAACTTGGCCAAGTTAGAGAAGTACCATGAGCAAGCTTAACAATGGGATGCCTCTTCTGCTGTGGTCAGTCTCTCACAGACTAAGATGAGTGACTGATTACCTGCTTAGGCCAGAAACAGGTCCTGCTAGACTAGGTGGCTCTTGCTTTTTCTCAGGAGGCACGTCATCATCCACCACATCAACCCTGTAGGCAAGAAAAGTGTGGTCTTCTCAGCTATGTTGGTGCTTCCAGGCCTTTGACAAATGTGCTTTAACCAGGATCCAGATGAGACTGGTGACTGAAACCTTGGCCACCCCAGCTCAGGGTGAGTAGGTAGAAGGACATTACCACTGAATATTCCCTGGAACCCAGGGAACTTTGTCTGGAAATGGGTTCTTAGGAGATATAAACAGGATAAGATGAGATCCTGCCAAATTAAGATGGGCCCTGAATCTAATGTCCTTCTGAGACTAAGGAAATCTGGACACAGACACAAGTCGATGTGAATGAAAACAGTAGCCTGGTGAGGCAAATAAAATTTGTCCCAGTCCTGGCAACACCTCAGTTTCGATTTCTGACCTCCATTTCTAGGGTGTTAAGCCACTCTGTTGGTGGTATCTTGCTCCATTAGTAACAGCTAATAAGCACATGTTACTCTCTGCTAATTTGTCTGTGCTCACTATATTCTAGTCAGCTACTGTCATTCAACAACAACACCATATTTCCACTCTGGGCCTTTGTACCGAATAGGTCTTGGTCTAGGATATTTGGAATGCTGCTTCATCAATGACTTGCCACCTTATCTAGAAGGCCTTTGAACTCCACTCCACTAAAAGTCCCAGTACCTAAGATTCACCTTCACACGTTTCTTCTTCATCCTCTATCCAACGTTTTCCTCCTACAGAAATTGACCTATGTCAAATAATAAGACCCTTGCCTCACTCAGCTAGTCTCCTAACATATGGATCATTCTCCTTTTCACCCTGTTTTCCCTATAGGACCAATCAGTAATATCACAGAAACATGGAGTTTCTCTTGGTGGTTCTGGTCCTGATTCTGGGTGACAGGAGAGCCCAGGGCGGGGCAAGAGAAGAGGACTCTTGTTATGGTTGGGGAGGACAACTCTCTTTGCTCAGAGACAGCAACCTTCCTTTTCTCTATACCCGACTGCAGGAGGCTTGCTACCTGGATAGCATATGGCTCCTGTGGCTTCCCTTAGTGATACTTACCTCTTTGCGATAAATGGGGCCTGCAGCTCCTGGGTAGGACTGCTAGAAAGGAAGCAGAATGGGCACATGTTGGAAAAGGCTCAAGGACAGGTGCCATCTTAGAGCCTCTCCTATTCCCAGTACCTCCTGCTTTTATTCTAAAAAGTGCATCTGAGAGCCCCGTGAAGGTCAAGCTGGAATGCCCTTATCCTTTCACTAGTCAAAGGAAAGCTGAAGCCCGAAGCAGAGGAGAAGGACCCCAGATCATGGCCAGTAGGGGCCAAGACAGACTCAAGCCTGCTGGGCCTCATTCCCAGACAACTCACCCAGTGTTCTTCTTAGCTGCCGAGAGGACATAAGAGTGCTCCCGTGAGGCTGTCTTCCTTAGAACACTGCTTGCAGCTTGTGATCTGGGGTAGTACAATGCAGAGGTATCTGATGCGTGTCAGACTAGCCACTCTGTCAGTCTAGCCTGGGATGTTCACTTAGCTGACTCAGGAGTACCCCCTGGGAGTTGAGGAGGGTAAGCCAGGGTAACAAGCACTGCTGTAAAACCATGGACACTGAAGGAAGGACCCTTAACTTGGGGAGCATGTAGCATGTGTCCAGCCCTGCTCTGAATGCTAAAATTCTCACACTGGTTCATTGAGCCTCACAACCAGGCAAGTAGGTGCTGATATACTCCATGACTGACTGAGTCTGGCCACTGCTCTGGTGATTTGCCTAAGTGCACACAGATAAGCAGGTGGCAGAATGGCAATCGATGTGAGGCACTTCCAGAGCTTCTTATTCATTCCCCTACACTATCGATATTTCAGGCCTCATGCAACTGTGATCATTTTGCATAGAACTGCCAGTCTTCCAGGGCCTTCAGCAAGGGACTGCCACTATGCTTCAAACTACATATGGGTTGGCAGATGCTGCCCTTTAACTGGGCTTCTTCTTTATAAGTGAGGGGAATTTGAAACTTTGGAGACCATTCCTGCACCCAAAGTACATTGCAAACACAACACACCCACAGATAGCAGAGTGCAGAAGGCCTTACCTAGCACACTTGACACTGAATATTAATCAACTTCCTTTGAATCTACACATGGGCCTTTTCCGTGGGCCCATGTTTCCTAGATTCTAACCCTACAAGGCTCTCAGAAGTGTCACTTGAGTTGGCCCAGCACTGAGAAGTAGTTCATAAACTTCTGGAATGACAACTGTATCCACACACCATGGGGTGTCCTCATGGTTTGTGTGTTATGTATTTTGTACTCTGGCAGTCTATTAAGATTCTGGCTCCTGCCCTACTCATGGGTATGCCTATAAGGGACACCATTACCTCTGTTTCTGTTCATCTGAGGTGAAGGATACCTCCTCTTCCTCAGTTCCTGATGTGGAGCTGCACCTGATGTTGTACGATGCCCTGTGGGGGAAGAGAAGCAGGTATGGCACTTCTTTCCTGTTCCCTGTTACAAGCTACTCCCCTTAGCATCTTGGCTTCTTGACTGCCAATGCCAACACATTGCTGTTGCAACCTTCAGCCTTAGTAACCACTTGTTCCTCCTCAAAAGCAAGCACTCCTTTATCCTGTTTTCTGTCCCTCAACAGTCAACAGTCTCACTACTTCCCTAGAAATATCTGCTAGCTGTCCCATGAAACACGATGATGGACCAAGCTGTATAAAGATGTAGAATCCTGGGGAGGGCCGGCACAATCCATACATTTGTCCTGAGCTCCCCTCCCTGGCCAGAGCTCTTGGAAGGAACCTCAAGGGAAGCCCAGCTTTAGACAAAACATGCTCACACCAATAGTCAGTGATATGTAAGAAAATCATGCCCCCAAGCACAGCTCAGCTGAACTCAGCCCAGCCTGAGAATCTGAGATGTAAAGGGGCACAGGGGTATATGCAGGAAACACAGACAGTGAGCAGCAGTCCCACATGGCCATGGCTCACTGTCCATTCTCTAGACCCATGGGCTCCTTCCAGAAGCTTCTTACAGTCTTTGCTTTGCCTCATATAAGTGTATTAGGCATGGCCACAGCTCTAGGCTACAGCTATAAGTGGCAGGTAAGTGACTAACTCAGAGATAAGTGTCCACTTGTCCTCAGTAGGTCCAGTGTCTGGGATCATTATATACTCGCAGCTTCTTATAATCTTCCGTAGCCATCTTATAACCAGAAGAGTAATGCGGAGGACCAGAATTAGCTGCTCCTAGCAGTCCAGAAGCACTAGAATAGCAAGATATTTCCATCTGCCCAACTATGGGTCCCCTCTTGCCTCTAAGTTTACCCACACAGTCCAGAAGAGACAGGACATGGGTCACAAGAAGACTTTCTTCCTTGTTGTCAGCCCCGCCAGACATTTTGAACAGGGCAGACCCAGTTAAGTTACAATGAAACAACCCACTGGGCTCTCATTTGTATCTTCTCCAATGGAGCCCCAGTTCCAACTGATACCAAGGTGTACATAACATGACGCCTTGACATACTGGGAACTAAGTGCATGGCACAATCTACATCTCTGTCTAGAGTTCCCCTTCCAGCCACTGCCCCTGGCCAGTGGCTAGAGCCAGGCAGGACATTCCCATACTTGGCAATGGACAAGGTTCTCCCACCGTCCTATTGACCATCTGGCCAACAAACCAAGGATGTACCTTCTTGGAGCTCCATTGCTCTTAGAGAGGTGCTTTTGGGAGTGAGAAGAGCTGTCTATTGTTCTGGTGAACACTCCCCTACAAGAGACACCAGAAGGTATTGAGAAGTCTGAGTGTGGCTGCAGTGGTATGAGGATGCAGGCAGTCCTGAGGTCGCTTACCGGATGATGTAACCAGTGGGAGCCTTTGTGTTTGGAGTCCTGCCAAGAGAAAAGGAGGCATGAGGGGAACAATGGCCTCACTATAGAGCTCAGGTCACTTTATTGCATTCTGTATCCAACAGTTGATGGGTATCCCAATATAGTAGCCAGGTACCCACTTAGCTCCACCTATCTCTCCTTCAGTCTTCCCAGGATCACTGTCATGGCTGACTCCTCCACAGCCATGTCCAGCATAGCCTGACTTACAACAGGGTGCCAGGCAGGAGGCTTGCACTATGTTTTCACATTTATTGAAAAGCTCCAGAAGTTACTCTTCCAGGCACCAGGGCACTTGAAGGAGCTCTGCCTGTTCTCTCCTGGATCAGACCGAAAGTCCCTTGGTCAGAGTCCAAGCTAACCTCAAAACCTGGGGCTGAAATGAATAGAGGGTAAAGCCCCATGGCCTTCCTGTTCCACTCCTCTAGAATGTTTCCTCTTCTGGCCCCTACTCACATCCCAAATGGTGATGGAAGTGTGAAACCAGAAGGTATGTCTCAGGCTTGGTCAATGGCTAGAAATCATTAGTTTCTGGGTACTGGGGCTTGCCATTTGTCAACAACAGAGGGGTTCAGAAGATTGGGGGCACTAGGGAGAGCATGTTAGAAGTAGTGAGAAGGGGGTTATTTTGGCCTGGGACAGGCAATAGATCCCCCTCTGAGGAGTTGGAAAGAGGACAAGGACTCAGTAGATAATCCTATCCAGCATTATGAGAGCTCTGGGTGGAACATCGAGGTTCAGCCTAAGGGTACCACAGAGCCCCAGCATTTATTCCTACAGACCCTGTTTTTATCAGAGAGCAGCTTCTTGGAGATAGTCAAGTTGCAGAAACACTAAAAGAGAAGTCCAAAGGTCTTGTCTTTACCATGCCGTTCAAATGACTCACTAAAAGTCCTTCATGCCCCTTATCAATTCAGGCTCCCCATGTGTTCCTTGTGTGATGTCCACCCCTCCTTCCAGCAGAAGAGCTTCTGGGTCCACTTAAAAGTCAGTTATGTACCACCTCTTACCTGGTGTTTGATACCTCTCCAACTGATGAAAAGGATGTTGCACGGGTTTGTCCTGAAGGAAGCTGTCTGTGGAAAGACAGGACCTGAACATAGTGGCTCCCATGCTCCTTGCTACCTGTTACCCTGTGGCTCCATCCCAAAGTTGGCCTGCTATGTACCACCTTCTCCTCTCCTGACCCACTTTACAGGTATGTGACCATATATACTGTTCAGTATCTAGGACTGTCCCATCTGTGGCTGTGTTCAGATTGTACCTTCACCTGGCAGGCCAGTGGACACACAGTCTGACTTAGCTCTAAATGGTGAAATGTCCTTAGCATCCCACCTGGGTCCCCTGGCTCCTCCACCAATGTTGCTTGCTGCCTTCCCTTCTGGCCTTGCCTCCTGGACTTACGTAGTACGATCCTCTGAGTCTTCATGCTTGATGATCCAGCTCTTGTCGCTCTTCAGTGTAGTTCGTACTTTCATTTGTTTTAGGACATTATTGCGCTCCTCTTCACCGGATGGCAAAGGTTTCCCTGGCAGGAGCAAGCCTAAGAGCCTTAAAGGGTGAACCCTAGTCCCAGGGCCCTTGCCAGCCCTCCCATTATGAGGCCATCCATTAGTTGACTGGGCAATGTTCATGTCCCTCTAAGGGTTTGCCTGAGATAATTCAGGCAGACAGATAGCCCAGGCTCACCTTTTCCATTATCTCCTAATGTTGAGATATTCATGATGTTTGGTTTTCAAATGTGTTATTAGTGGATTCAGTGGGCTCCTGAGGACAAAGACAAACATAGATTTGTCAATATGTGAATTTGTAATGGCTTGTGGGTCACCTCTAGAGTTTGCATGTGGTTTGTCCCCTAAGGGCTCTTGTACTGGGAGCTTGGTCCCATATAGCAATATTAAGAGGTAGTGGGACTTTTAAGAAGTGAAGTTTGTGTTGGTATTCAGGCATCTGTACTGGCATGTCCTTGGAGTTCTGCCGCCAGCAGCTGTAGCCACTAAGAGAACCACCTGTGCATATTCACTATGTTCCCTTTTAAAGGGCCCTGCCCACCTCCCATCCTCTCTTTCTCTCTCTCTCTTTCTCCCTCTCTATCTCTGTCTCTGTCTCTCTCTGTGTGTGTGTGTGTGTCTGTCTGTCTGTTCTCTCCTCTCTCTTTTCCTCTCCCCACTTTCTTCTCTCCTGCTGCTCCTGTCTCTGGAGGTTGGTCTCCCCCTCCCCTTTTTATGATTCCCCCTTCCCTAATAAAAAAAACTCTGCCTGAATCCTGTCTCATGGTATCTTTCTCTAGCGTGCTGTTTTTCTTAAAATACAACAGTTTGGGGGATGGAGAAATGGTTCAGTCAGTGCTTGCATGGTAACATACCCTTATTCCTAGCACTGGAAAGGCAAAGATAGTAAGATCCCTGAGGCTTGCTGGCCAGCCAATCTAGCCAAATTGGTGAACTCTAAGTTTACTGAGAGATCCTATCTCATAAAGAAAGACAAATAGTGAAAAAGATACCCGATGTTTGTCGCACCTGCTGTGCGGCCTGCATCCGAGAATGTAGCGAGGTGGTCGGGATAGATGACACAGAGACCAGTCGGTTGCTTTAAGAAAACTTTATCTTCCCAAGTCAGCTTAGGAGGAGACCCCAGTCCGCTTAGGAGAGAGCTCTCAGTAGAAGTCTCTCCAAGAAAAAGGAGCTTCCCTTTTTAAGGACTTCTGCCATTCATCTACATACCATTCTTTCCAGACTTCTCACCCTCCTGGCTGGTGGTTTAATCTCCGGCCCCAGAATCGGGGAGACACAGCGGGGAAACAGGAAGAGACATCTAGCCATAGGGGGTGTGAAAGTCATGGTATCTCAGTGAGCGAGCCCTTATCTGAGCCCTATCAAGAGCTTTAAAGCACTGAATTGTTTTCAGTAAACATTACACAGCTGCCTGCTCCCAGGCCGAAGGGGAAGTGGGTTTCTGCTCAAGGTCTGGTGTCCCCACAGATGTTGACCTCTGACTTCCACATGCACATATGAACATGTATACACGTGTACATCTATACTCACCCCTCTCTACCCACTCATCTATACCCATATCCTCCCCCCCACACACACAAAGCAAGCTTTGATGAAAGGTAATTAGATCGTTGGGAGAACTGTTTTATGATAGAATTAATGTCTTAGGAGAACCTGGTTAGTTCTCATGAGTGTTTGTTACCCAAAAGCAAGTCTAGCCGAGCTCTGGTTTCTCCCTGGTGTCCCATTTCACCATGTAAGTTGTCTCTCTGACATACAGGTTCTCCTGCCTGCCACTGTGATACCCAGCCATGAGATCCTTACCTGAGCTAAGGCACTGCTGAAACCATGCCATTGGGACTCCAGAACTAAATGAGTATCTTTCTTCTGTAAAACACCCAGCCTCAGGTACTGCATCATAATAACAGAAAATGAACTCATAGAGGTCCTTTATGATGTTAGCAGATTTCCCTTCAGGTAGCAGAAGTGGCAAGAGTCAGTAGAATTCTGAATGTAGAGAGAGGCCAGGGAATAAGCACACATTCCACAGCTGAATGCCACACCTATCTGTAGAGCCAGGGCTGCTCAACTGGAGAATATGGAACTTGTGGGATGTCACTGTCTGTTATAGTCTGTTATTAAAGGCTGACCATTAGTGCTAATGGAAAGACTCTGGGAAAGAGAGCTTGCAGCAAAGAAACTCCAACAGTGTCATGGAGACTACTATGGAGCTGAGCCAGTACTGTGGAACTGAGAGGGTAGGATTGAAGCACATTTCAAGCAAAACACCTTTATGGATAGGCAGATGACTTAGTCATAGGATGAGGGCTCAGGGAACCACCTGGGGTTGGTTTAGGATTGGACCATCTCTCTTACACCTTAGTAGCTGTCAGATCTTGGTTAAATCAGTTAATTTCTCTGGACTGCCTCAGTTTTATGTCTGTAAGATGAGAGTGAAAATGTTCTATCTGTTGTAGACTGTTTCTAGACTGTTGTAACATCAGCACATATGGGGCAGCAGGACATAAGCCAAGTCGTGATGACTTTCAAGTTGTTTGCTGGAGTAAAGATAGTGTTCTCTAACCAGTAGAGAAAAAGTGGCTATTTAGGGTTGTGATGGGAGATGTCATTCTGAAATCTGTCTCTTATTGGTTGTTGAATAAAGCACTGTTGGCCAATAGGGAAGCAAGATAGGTAGGACTGGGAGTTGATAAGGATTCTGGGAAGGAGAAACACAGGGAGTCACCATGTAGCCACCATAGAAATAAGAGGTCCCTTTCTCTGGTAAGAGAAATACTTAGATTAGCAATTATGGGGTAAATACTTAAGTCAGTGATAGCCAGTAAGAAACCAAGAAAACAGCCAACAGCTTCATAATTAATGCAGTGTCTTGTGTGTTATTTGGGTACTGCAATTGTGGCAGAGCCCAAGCGGCTGGTGGGGAAAAACCAAAGCGGCTGGCGGAGGAAAAGGCTTCACTCAACAAATTGTTATCAGAAGTGGGATATGAATTTCCACATAGAATGACAAAAGCTTAAAAGGAATTTTAGAAACAAAAGAACAGAGAGAAGCATGGCTTCTTGGTAGCAGCATTTTTCTCAGGTGGGCTCTGTTTTGCTAGCGACAATCAGAGACTCACACGACTTGCTTAAGGGAGCCTTCCTGACTCAGCATAGAAAACCACCAAGGTTCTTTTAAGAGGCTCTGCTAACGATTGAAAGGTGTGCATGAGTATCTGGAAGTGGCAGTGACCACATCTCCAAGCCGGCAGCTTTTGCTGGATGTCAGCATAGACTGAGGCGGTGAGCTAAAGTCAAACTTACGCCTGCCATCTTGGAAAAACTACAGTTTAAACAGCCATGGTTTTCAGCAGATAAGACACGTGGCCAAAAAAAATAAAGATTTACAGTAAAGTCAGATTCAGATGAAGAATAACCTCTAAAAGGGTTTACAGTGTGTTTAAAAATATACATAAGATTGAGAGAGAAAAAGAAACAGCATGGTGGTAAATAAAAGAGAAGCCAGCTGTGGTGGTGCATGCCAGTAGGATTTGTTCCAGAGGCAGAGGCAGGTGGATTTCCAGAGAAACCCAGTCTCAGACAAATAAATAAATAAATAAAAGTAAAAGAAATAGAGTAATAATAATAGATAAATAAATAAACCACATTAAGATGGAAAATACACAGAGAGTCGGGATACTGTATGCTATTGTGTTTTTCAGTTTTTTGATTGCTAAAGGAACAACTGCTAAACTACACTTCATTATAAATGCTACTAAATTAATTCAACTTATATCTTTTAAAAATGCATTGACTTCAAAATTTAAGTATAAGGATATGTTACTTTGGAAAAGATATTTTATTTCTGTTTCCACAGAAAATGGAAAGCTGTGAATTCCTTCCAGGCTTCTGTGGTTTGATGTACCAAGAGCCCCAGAAGCAATGGGCCAGGTGTTTCAACAATTAAGACAGCTAAGATGATGCAGTCTTACAGACCACAAAAATAAGGACTTATACAGGTTTCTGAGTTTTGTCATAATCCCCATGGTATGAACAGCGCCCCCTTCCAGCAGGAAGCAGTTTGGAATGATCAATGTCCAAATTCCCATACTGTTTATAAATCTTTGTTTTCATTTAAATGGGGTTGCTTAGAATTGGTTAATGATCACAACCAATCTCTTTTTAATGAAAAAACGGGAATTATGGTATGGAAATGAATAATTGGTATTTCATTTATTGATACAAATTCAAGGTCAATTTTGTGATATGTATATTTCTCTTCTTGATTAAGTATTGTGCTTATACTGATCTTTTAAAATGTAATGCATAATTAAATACAGACTATAGATAGTTACTTATAATAGTCAGAACTTATAGTTAGGTTAGTTAGGTTTTCTAGATATAGAGACATATTTGAGATAGATAGTCTTCAAACCTTTCAAAGACCTTCAGAAAATGGCATTTAAAATGGATTAGAGTTTTTCTTGACAATGAGAAATGTCTGCTCCTGGCACATCAATTATGTCCGTGAGGAAGATGGGCATGGAGTTTGCTTTCAACATGGCAAGATTAGCCATTTGGGCAAGAAACTGCTTGAAATTTCCTGCTTTGCTGAGAAGTCTTCCAGACACACTGTGGCCTATGGGTTGAAGATGGATGCCCCAACATTACAGAGAAACTTCAGGTGACTGTCCAGGTAGCAAGATGTTTCTGTCAATTCTAGTGTTTATATATTATCCTATGATGGAGTTAAAGGCAGATAATTATCATCATAGTTTTCCTTGGTTATGATAAAAGATAAGCTACATTATAAGACTTTAGGTTCATAAAGATAGGATAGATGATATTTTCTTTAAATCTTACTAAATGTTAATGGACAAATATTGTAACTATGTTCTTACTTGATAACTGTTCTGTTATATATAATTTGACTATGTTGAAGTCAAAACCTTTCAGTTATTTTAGAAAGAAAAGAGGAGATGATGGGAGATGTCATTCTGAAATCTGTCTCTTATTGGTTGTTGAATAAAACACTGTTGGCCAATATGGAAGCAAGATAGGTGGGACTAGGAGTCGAGGAGGACTCTGGGAAGGAGAAACACAGGGAGTCACTATGTAGCTGCCATAGAAATAAGAAGTCCGGACTCTTTTCTCCAGTAAGAGAAATACTTAGATTAACAATTATGGGGTAAATACTTAAGTCAGAGCTAGCCAGTAAGAAACAAGCAAGGCCCACAGCTTCATAATTAATATAGCATCCTGTGTGTTTATTTGGGACTGATGCGGCTCTGTAACCAGGCTGGTGGGGCAGGCTACACTCAACAGGGTTGGCCCTTCATTCTGTTTCTTCACAGGGACCCAGTGCCAAGGAGTGACCTCAGCATCAGATGAGGAAGAAAATCTGGTAAGGGCCAACAGGTTCTTTGTACTCTATTCTCCCTTCTTACCTCCTCTCTGGCTGGCAGAGAGGTTAGTTAGAGTGGGCCATATAAGCCTATTCATCTACTCTCCAGGCAGAGGTTCAGAGCTATGGGCATGACAGAAAGCAAGGCCATGGCTGTGCTAAGGCAGAAAAGCCTTCCTCCCTGGGGTCTGTCACCCTCTGGATCCCTCCAGGACTAGGTTTTGATCATCTCAGTAATGGTGCCAGCTGGCAGAGCCTGGGCATGTTTCCATGGAAGTCAGTGGCACACTAAAGGGGGAATGGAAGGGGAGCAAAGACCAGATTGAATTGCCTATGTCAGCAAGAACCTGCTGTCCAATAAAGTGTACCAAGTGCAATCCAAACAGGCTTAATCTTCTGCACACCATCATGGTATTGAAGCTGCCACATCAGAGCTCTGTTGTTCTTTTTTGTTTGTTTTTTGGTTTTTTCAAGACAGGGTTTCTCTGTATTGCTTTGGATTCTGTCCTGGAACTTGCTCTGTAGACCAGGCTGGCTTCGAACTCACAGAGATCCACCTGCCTCTGCCTCCTGAGTGCTGGGATTAAAGGCATGCGCCACCAACGCCCGGCAAGTTGTTGTTATTATGATTGCATAAACCCAAATGTCTGCATCCTAGCAGGATGTGGAGTAACCCCATGAGCCAGAATACATGGGTACAGTCAGTGCCTGTTGGCAGACCACTCAGCCTAAGTCCTTGGTTCCTGGGTCTTTTGATACTACCAAATGTGAAAACCTTGGACAGGCCCTCACCTCTTTGCCTAAAAGCAAATGCCCACTTGTTAGTCCCTCAAATCTTACCAGGCCACTTTTGCTGTCTAATTTTCAGTGAGGCATGTCAACGACATAGTCTTTTTCAAGACCCAGGGACTGTGGCCATTGGTTTCTACATAGGAACTGTGCAAGTATATGAATTTTATTCCCAGCATTAGCAGTCACATCCATCCTATGCCAGTACTAAACCCGGAACTTGTCAGTTTCCTCTTGATAGATTCAGTGGCCATGTTGTCTAGTCTCATAGTACATCAGAACCATATAAAACACTTCTCAAATCAAGATAGAGTCATACATGTGCAGAATGCCAGAAGCCGAGGGCCATTGGCAACTGTCCAGGCAAAGGAGCAAGGATATGTGCCAGAAAAGAAACATGGTTGATACTCCTGCATCAGCTGCTTTCCCTTGAGTCTAACTACATCTCTGAAGCCCAATTCCTTTTTCAATAGATGGTAAACCTGAATGGGTTTACTGGGAATGGAGCTCAGTTATATCAGTACTTGTTGAGTACCCACAAGGCCCTGGGTTCCACCCTCACCACCATACAACTAGGTATATGGTACATTCCTGTACCCTTAGCACAGGAGGATAAGAAGTGCAAAGTCATCCTTGGCCACACAGCAAGTTCAAGATCAGCCTGGGATACAAGAGATTTTGTCTCAAAATGTATATCTAAAAAAGAAAAGAAAAAATAAAGAAGACACATATTGTAGCATAGAGTTGGGCATGGTAGTATATGACTGTGGTCTAGCACTTGGAGGTGGAGGCTGGATGATAAGAAGTTGAGGTCACCCTCAAGTATTCAGGGAGCTCAAGGCCAACCTGGGTTATTTTGAGATCCCCTATTGAGAAACCGTATAGAAAAAGATCACTGCTGAAGTAGACTGAAGACTAGGGCAGTTCACTGGAAGAAAGAGCTGGGTCAGGAGACCACAAGTTTGTTAGAAACCACAGGGAACCATGAGTAGATGTGTTAGAATCAACTACTGATGTTGCCTAGTGGGACTAGGGGCCTGTGAGCACTGCTGGATGAGGTACTGATGGAGGCAGGTAGACTGGGGAAAGGTCAGAAGTGACCTTGGTTTGAACCAAAGCCAAGGAGGGGAGAGGGCAACAAAGCTGAGGAAGACCATCTGCTGATTGGTAGACGGGTATAAACCCCATTTGTCAATCTACCACACTGAAGTATATCTCTTTAAAGGGTCTTCCTCTGGCATACATCTCTGTCCCA